CTGTGAAAAACTTAGTCTTTAACTAAATGTTGCACCTAAAAGACCAGAATCAAAACATTGCTTGGATATGTTATAACATAATCTTTTAATTAAAATTTCTTTTTCTGTCTGGATCATCAGCATGTTTTTTATCTTTTGTTTTGTAAATATTCCGCTCAGCCCCAATATTATATGACTCATAAATGAGGCAAGCTTTTGTCGTTAACGACCTTAAATCATCAACGATATAGTGTTTTTGTATCTAATGAGCCTAAATGGCTTTTGCTGTTGATTCTGGCAGACCATTCTTGAGACCAAATTAGATTGGGTTTACGAATTATCGAATAAAATCCATTCTCTTGAGCTATTCGCGACTATAGCCGAGTCGAAGTATACACTGTTATCGGAMAACAATAAATGGTGATCTAGAGATCGATACTGGATGAATGAATTTGAAAATTGAGATCGTTGTGATGTTTATGGGAACGAAGGATCATTTCATGATCTTTCTTCCAAGCTGAGGCGTGGTGGGCCAGTTTATATAACATTGATATGTCTGAAATAAAGCTTTTTATTCTAATAAAAAGATGTCTTATAAAAACTATTAGTTAAGATGTGTCGAAAATTGTGAAGAATTTGTAAAGATYCCGCCATCATGACTGAGACAGATGTCCACAGAACGATACTCATGTTAAAGTCCCGAGGGTGACAGTTGAAGACTTGGTGACTTGAGAGTGTTTCTCACAGCGTCTTGCTAACGACCTCCTGATGACTAAGGCAACACTGCAGACGTGAGAATCAAATGGACCATGMTAAAACTAAAAAACAAGTGAACTCGCTGTAAATATTTCCAATAAAGCAACAAATTTCTAGAAATTGTCAGAGGTTTTCATCGGTTGTCATCGAGAAAGGCTCTTTGAAAAATGTTGTCTCGATCAGTCATTTTAGTTGATGTATTTGAAAGCTAAAGATAGATGGTGGGAGAAGATGACAGAAGKAAGAACAAGGCTAAGATTGAAATGCCAATCAAAAATTTGTCATTAATTTGGTTAGCGATGTATAGAAATAGTAAAGATATGTAGATATATATACAAGGGTGCAGATATACGCTGAACAACTTTGCCAGTTTTCCCTCGACTTTAGTAGAGAGGAAAGTAGGTACATTTCATATCAACACGCCCAACGCTTGTTAACTCGTCCCCTTGGCAAAAGATAGGATGTTCAAAATAAACACTGTTTGAAGGCACCGTATGCTACGCCGACAAAAAAAAAAAGAATTGTCAAAGCAGACCGATTAATATAGTATTTTGCTACTTTGATCTAAATACAATAAGGCAAAATAACTTGTCTGGGCAGTTGACTCAAAACATCTAACTTGAAGCCTCTCTTGTATAAGATGTGAGCCAAAAGGGGTTCTCAAATYAAGTARTGYAGGTGCAATGCTTTATGACCGTGCACAGACTCGCAACCTCGAATTCAGTTCAGACGGCGTTATATAATAATACAAACCATATTGGACAGTACAAAAAGAAAGTCATTTTTAATGCTATCAGAAAAGTACACACTTATTAAATCCTATGAAATAAGGTGTTAACAAGATTAACGTTAAATAGGTGTTTAGCTAAGTTGAACTGATTCAGAGGATAACATTGTCTTTTTGAATTTCCACATCGAGTAAAAAATATCATTACCAAACAAAAAGCTCCATCGATTAAATCTGGATTTCTCAACAAAAAGGCTAACACAACAATATGTTCTAGGCTAGTGTTTATTCGAGTAACTGGAGAATAATTGAACAAAAAAAAACAATCAAAAATCTGTAGGAAACTCCCGATTACCCTATATAGCTGTCACCCATGAATAAGTACCACTTTTCTAGTTTCTTTTCATTTGTTTCTTATTTGCTTTACAACATGAGTTCAGTTTAGAATAAATGCAATTTTGTTCTTATCACGAAATGTCACGAAGGAAGATTTATGTTCTCGTTGATGATAACTCTTCAGAAAACTCGTCGAAAAACCTTCCCAAAAACACTTGATTCCCTATACAAAGCTACCGCTAATCTCCCTGACGTGAAGAAAGATGGTCGTTGGCGAAAGAATGAGCGGAAATTGTCGCTTATAGGCGTCAGTCAGCGAAGGAAAAATAGTAAGTTAATGCTTGATTATGGATGGCATGTATATAGGGTTATCATTTTGCTCATTGTTTACGACCCTTCAAAGAGGGCTTCAGGAAATATTATTGAGTTTTTCACGATCAATATAAAACATAGCATTATCACTAGCACTTGAAAAGCTGGAAATTATGTCTTCAATAACTGTAGCACTTCAATTGGTTCCTATACGAAAAAAATAAACGAATTCTGCAGACATGTACTTTATTGTAACGACCTGTCGAGCTTTCTTGATATTGGTACACCTTATAGAATATATTTTGTTGATGAAATCGGGTTCTATTTCCTCTTTGTTTTTTTTCATTTTTTTTCTCATTCTTTTATGAGTAATTTTAGTTTTGAATGCGTATATTCTTTAGATCATTCTTGTATCCAAGAGTTAAGTTTATCAACTGTATGTAAGCTTGTTTTTCTTTTAAGTTCATCCAAGAAAGCACTGCGCACCTTATGTATATCAGGCAGAAAACCAACTAGCACACATAATTTATCGTACCCACATTACAACTAATAAAATACATATTAAATCGAGGTAAATGGTCAAAATTATAAAGAATGTAGAAATTATGGAAGGTAGTTTGTATACTTATATCGAAGTGAAATAAAACAAATTGACCTAATGGTTACTGTTTTTAACATTTTCTGATGTACAAGATGGTCTGAATAAGGAAGAAAACTTTCAGTCATTTCGCTTTTGACTGYTTWTTAAAAGAATACCTTAMTTTTAGTCTCAACAGACTAGGCTTCTAGAGTTTGTAACGTTTTTTTAAGCACCATTTATTTTGAGTTAATCAGAACSACTGAAAAGACAGTTTTTTCCGTCACTGATTTCCAAGTTGTCGAAGGGTTGATATTCGAATGAAGCCACGACTGGAACATTTGTTTTCGATGTATATTTTCTCCAAAAGTATCTACCTGTATGCATCCGTTCAGTGTACTTTTGTCTTGAAGTCTACAACGGCCAAAGTTGTTGACTATAATAATTTGGGTTCTTCACTAAAGTTTGTGTGGGAACATTTTAAATGGATGCAAACTCCATTTATTCAATGTCCAGAATCGCGGTAAAAACACTTTTGATAATGAAAAAAGACTTTCTGTCTGAAGTTTTAAAGTACAAAAGTCAGTTTGACAAATGAACTCGGAATACTTATCAATGACTGTTCTGACTTGAGCGAGACGGGTTTTTGAATGATGAAGGCTGCGCTCCATAATATTTTACAATGAATCATTTCGAAGTTGCTTTATTGATAACATAGTGAGTGAAAGATGYCGATCTTTTGTTGAAGTTTAAGACTGATTACATGACAGAACATCAGACTTTGGTAATGGTCTTTTACAGTGCTTTGAAGTAACAAGGCCGCCCTTAGCACTTTATCAATGCTTAATACAATTTCTAAAGTATTGCTAAGACACCGACTTCTTTACCATCATTGTTAATGAAGTGTGTCGAATGAATTGACTCGTTGTTCTGCACAGTGTACTCAACCCAAAAGAACAAAGGAACAGTGTAAGTTCTCTTTGTTCCGATTTCACAGTTGTAAAGCATTTTTTGAAAGGGTAACAGCGAGGGAGGTCGGYGCTAACTGTTTCGTTTCGTGAGCAMCTACATTCCAGACAATAGCGTTTTCGCATGGTTTGTATGTTATACCTTTTAAGGGTCAAAAAAGTCGTATTCATAAGTCGTGAGGGATATTACACGCATGGACTATCATCCATTCTTCATCTAAGTCATCAATCAATCGTTCTGAATAGGGCCCAATARTGCAGCATGTGTGACATTAACGTGTAGCACATACAACAAGCATGCTAAAARCATTCCTTTTTATTTTAGTAATCATAATCAATAGCATGTGCTAGAAATGACCTCAAAGTGTTTCTAAGATACGAAAAGCAGTTTGCRGGGCCCTCAGACCGTGAGCGTATAGCGTGTGCGGTGAGCTTCATCGCGATGATTTATGAGTTTTCATATCTTTTGTTTAATGAACTCGTACGTTGAGATAATGTTGTCAACGTCGCGAGTACATCTAGGATTGAATAAAGTGACGAACCCATCACGATGTAAAGTTCTCTCTTACTTAAATGGTGAAATATTTAYCACCTTCAATATTAGACAAGTACGAAATCTCACGAAATACCGAGCCAAGTTTCGAATTTGCTGCACACCGATTGGACGAATTCTGAGTGGCGGTTTTGTGATATTCCATTGATAAAAATCATGTCGACTTCGGATGAAGCAAAAACACAGTCGGAGACACAAGTTTCGGTGAGTGTAATTCCCACAGACTTTTCATGCATGTATGTTTTTTGTTTGATTATATTAAGTTGCTAAAGTGTCTACTGTCGAGGTGAATAAAGGTATTGTCAGTTATTCTGATGGACAGATCTGCCAAAGTTCCAAAGTCTTTTATTGTGTATATTTCGCTCCAATTCACCTAATCTTCTAGCGTAACACCCTTCAAGCGGTAAAACGATAAACCYACCCAAWTTGACACTGCATCTGCTAATAGCACTGTCCAAGGAATTGGATTTATTGATAACAGGAATGATTTCCTTTGTGAGGCTTTTGGGAAATTATTCCAATTACAKTTGAAGGAACAACTAGGCAATTTCGTTGAAAATCATTTAAAAACAGATTCGTGTCTTATCTAACATCATCTGACACTCTCACCAATTCACGTGARCATCTCTCTGGGGATAACAAAAGAGKTTGAAGCGAGGAGGTGGGGTCTGCCATTCCAAAGTTTTGGAACAAAATGAAGCGCTACGCAAATAGTTTCCGTCAAGTTATTTGATTGATTGGGAAGCAGAGCTACTTTGCAACCAATGAGATATGACACAGTGACGTTGATTCTAGATCAACCGTCGACGTATTAGCATTCCGTCGAGACATCTTTATTTTCTCGGCCAACACTAAGACACTAGGAATTACATTCCAAGATCTGATAATCCCATAGACTTTTAGTTGTCTAAATATTTGTTATGTCCCTTCATATTTGTACTTCTTGCAATGTTTTCGGTGCTAAGTATCGACGTGCACTTATTATTTAGCACCTTATCAGTCTCCACTGAAGATCTGCATTTTACACCCAATCAACCTCAGTCATACAACCAATTTGAACCTTAATTTGTTTATCATTTCTGATAATAATGAGGTATGATGTTTCCCTTTGATTGGAGACTTAGATCTTTGGCATGGAGAAAAGCAATTAGGAAGAAACGAATTCCAGTGTTTTGGAAGCGAGGATATTAAATTTCTTGGACACTGCGGAAATCATTGAAGGTTTTGTTGCCTTACAACGCAAAATTCACTTCCTCGATTGAACAGAAAGAATAACAATAAAAGGGTTGTATTGGTCCACATGCGACAAAACCTGTCACAGCTATTTCAAACTAAAGTGTTTTACTTGTTCATTGACTAGACGTGGTTTTGGCCAGGGCAAAAGGTTAATATAGAGGGTTTTATGCAAGAAAGGCAAATGGTTTTTGTGGTTAAAGCTTTAATTAGCGAAAACATTTCATAAAAAGAACACAAAACAAACGTTCTCCGCTTTGTTTGAATAAAAAACTCTTTTCAATTGTTCGCTATTGAGTCGGTGCCGGGATGGCGGTCCCAGGCTCCGCGCATGAGTCTCCTATCCTAAAGAGAACAAAAAACCTTGGCTTGTTTTGCCGAAATTCAATTATTTGTTTCCTATTTAGGCACTTTATTGGTGCCGCTAAGGCTTTGAACTCGTGATAGCGAGATCAGTGGTTGACGTATTGTGATCGTAGTTAAGTCATGCCCGATCTGAATTTGTCCAGACTTAAGAACCTGTTAAAAATAAAGAAATATGAATCAATACAAACAATTAAAAAAGCAAGAAAATCAAATACAATATCAAGATATATAGATAATGTTTTTCCCCTAAGAGTATAATATTACTTTAAACCATCAAGCAGGAGAAATAGCAATCAAGATCGACCTGTCAACGTGCGGATTTCTGTAGCCTGTTACAGGCTAAACTACCCGTCTAACGTAACCTCCGGGGAAAAGGTTCCATTTTACGCGGCTCTGTTTGAATGAAACCCAAAAAACTTTGAATAGATCACATGGATGTTTATTATAAACATACGACACATAAGTTTCTTAGATCTACCATGGATGGCGCCAGGCAGACAAAGATCAGATATAAAAAGCAATATGTGGGTTGTATTGTGTACATTATCTGGATATGTTTTGTGTACATGGCATTACTAACCGTTTCTCTAACAAAAAACTTTACATCAGTCAAAATATAGAGAATTATAGTATAAATATATCAACGGACAATTTTACCCCGCGATAAATAAGTCTAAATACAATAGGATTCCATAAGTAAATTGAAAAAGTATAAACGAACAGGGGTGCCTTTGTTTTCGCATTGGAAATCAGCCAAAAAGACGTGAAAGAAGAGGAGAATTAAATGAATTAKGTTTTGATAAACAAGAACCCAAAACAAAGCAAGGTCATGATCTACGTTTACTGACACCGTAAATAAGATGTTAAAAAGGGGGAAATATCAAAATTGGAAGATAAAAATGATACAAGAAAAACATGGGCAAAATACACTTAGAAAATGTTACACTGAATTCAAGGACCAAGAATCCCATTAATCAACACAAATGACGCAGACTGCATAGCTCACAAAGATTCTATATTAACGGTCCTTCGAGATTTGAAAAAGAATGATCTGAAAGATTTGCGCGTTTTGTGAAGAGTTGATTAAAGAGAGATAGGAAAATAGCTTAAAAAATAACTGTTGCTTCTATGGGTGCTCGTAGCATAAATTGAAAAAGCGTTTATWCATAGGAAATAAGGCAGTATCTTTCATTCAAGTTAGAAAAACACTGTAGTAAATATTTTCAAAAAGCTTCTAAGAAAAAAAAATATTTAAGGATTTAAGGAGTGGTTCATAAGAAAATACAGGTCATAGGAGGCATCCACCCAAAACTAGACACAGTTTATGGAATTAGAAAGAATTGAAATAGTCATACTTTCTCCCCAGTGTAAGACCTTGAAACGGCGAAAAGAACACTAAAATATAAAGTAAATTTGGATCTTTTTACTGAAAATACATTTTGGAGAGAAGCGAKGAATACGCTGAGGTTTGGTCAAAGAAGAAATGAAATCAGAGACATCGTTTATAAGCCAGAACCAAATTGAATAAATGATTATCATGGTAGAGTGCTTTAACTCGCCCAGCAGACGGCGAAGGATGTTGTAAATCGCGATTAAAACTAGTGAAAAATTGCTAGGACTCATCTTGTTCCCCAGTAAAAGACTTAGTTGTACAAGGCTTAACCTTAACCGCTCTGCAGTAATCCTTTCGATAGGTTCAATGTCTCAATGAAGAAAGAAAGATGTACCTTTCTCATAGGAACCATATGCCGTTTAGTCTTCTCTTTTCAATACCTTTAAATAAGAACGATTTTCGTTGTAATCAACAATATACATARTCATCTATGTAAGCAAAATGTACAATGTTAAATCTCTTTTTTCTTGATTTAATACACACGCGAGCGGCGTTTCTCTCAGTAATGCAGTGAAATGAAATTATGGCGGAAAGTCGGGTTTGGAATGACCCCACGCGCTTTTTCGCAAAAAGAGATAAAATTTCATTAGCTCAGAATGCTGCCTTAAACATGAATTATCAWCCATATCTTCTTTTCAAAGCTCTTTTTATATTGAACGAATAGTAAATTGGTTATTGGGAAATGCGTAGAAAAGAATCGATGTTGTGGGTATGAGAAATTAAGCCTGTTCCCTTTGAACAGTGTGGTCGTCAAAAACATACGCCTCTCTTTCAATGTGCGCTTTACGAATGAAAGTGGACAATAAAATCAAAGTTACAGCACCGTGTATAGAACTCCTGGATATCATTGTCAAGAAATAACAAACCAGTCAAACAACGTCTTATTTTACTGAAGAGGTAATTGAGAAACCTGAAAGTAAATTGCACAGCAACTAAAAAATGGTCTTGATTTGAATATTCCTTCCATGAACGACATAGAACTGCAAGATTATAAAATAAAATGAAAAAACTAGACAAGCACATTCTGTATCGATGTAGAGAACTTTTATTCTTAAGCAGTTGGCACAATCTGAAAGCTAGTGAGATATCTGCCGAACCAGCACTTTAGTCACCTATATAAGTACACTGCGATATTTTCTACTCATGGTAGTTACATTCTAAAAATCCTTTATAATTTTTATATTTAAATAACTTATATTCACGTAAACTTTCTATACTCTACAAATGCTACTAAAACGTTTCGTGGAACTCTTCCATTTAAACTTTTTTACACATCAGAATAAAAGTCCAATATAGTGCAAAACCACAGAGGGGCAATGAACTCATCTTACGAGCCACATCATAAGGTGGGTCCTATATCAAATAGCAGTTATTCGTGAGCTAGATCGAAGAAGCCAAAGCGTGAGTTGTTAGGGTATCGTGATAGTGTGAAGTCGCTTAGGAGGCAATGAGGTCTTTAATACTCCACGTAAGAACATAGATCAAGTCTTTAATGATATCAGTTTGGCGTCTTTGACTACCTTTTCGTGTCAACACTTTAATGCTCGTTTTTCTTTTACTTGACATAAATGACTCTTAAAATATCGTAAAGTTTGTGTGGTCTGTGCGCATTTCAGTGCGTTTTGACGAAACTAAGAGAGAGCTCTTTCTATTTAATTTGTTTTCAAATCTGAAATCATTTTGACGGACATAAAGTGGAGATGCGGTTCTGTTTCTCTTTATTTATTTCATCTTTTCTGGTTTCTGAAAATGGTAGAAATGTAGAGAAAACGTTTTTCCGAGCTATGCAAAGCGACAGTGTCTTTTGCCATGAACAAGTCCAGGTAATGGCTCAAAACGGAAGTAAAATCCGTTAATAAGTAGCCCAAGCGAGAAATTAGGTCAACTGGATTCAGTTAAAACCCTAAGGACATCAATTTTCAAATTCTGTAAGTTTTACACTTACTTAGACAACATAAACGGAAAGTATAAATGGGATTTCACCCACAATTATGATTGAATCATGAATCGAGCAGTTAGCCTTTAAACGTTTTTATTAAAACCTCACAGGAAAAAATCCAATTCTATTAACTTCAATTCATGCAAATAATGTACTACAAAATAATACACAAACAAACAAATTTGAAACAAAATTGCATACCGGTGCAAAGACTTTCTCCTGCTATGTACAGTACTATAAAACTTAAGATGATAAATACCTTAAAATTCCCGATTTGAGAAGTAAATTTTTCGATCAACGTTTGTGAAAGAAATGATTGTATCAAAAAGGGAACAACCTTTGAAACCTACGCAGCTAGGGTGTTCACAATCTGTTTTTGCATATTTGTGGTTAAAAACGACATTCAAAACTGGGCAATTCAATAAAGTTGAGCGTGCAGAAAGCACGTTGTCACAAAAAAATCATTGTGATAGTAATTGACGGTCAGTTTGGACAGAACGAGTTTCAAGAGACACTATTCCTTATTCGATTACATGACTAAAATAGGCACAAAAATGATGGCTTTTTGGATGCAATCAAACAGACGTACACAGAGAAATTTTATTAACTTATCAACGTCACTTCCAAGTCTAAAACTTTCCATTTTTTGAAGGGTTCTCTCTCAATCAACTAACCATGAGGTTGAATAAATATAACTGAGGGGTATGAAAAAAGGTTCTCACGTCAAAATCAAGATGACATTTGAATGGGTCATTTCTCTGGTTGAATTTGTTGCTTTTAAGCCTGTACAGTCCTTGTCTGACAGATATTTACGATTGTCATCTCTTGTGGTGCTATCTTTCCAATCTTCACACATCTTTGGTGTGTAATTAAAAAGGGCTAATGAAAAATACTACATATGTTGGGCACACGCCCTGGTCCTAAGTCTTGTGTAACATCTTGAGGGTATATATGTTTAAGATATCTATATTTCCTTAAAACAACTCTGGATACCTACATTTTGGCACTAATACAATTAGCATCTTAACAACAGGTGTAGCATTGACTGACAGTCCCAGTTGGTATTTTCAAACACTCCAACAACATGCAGTTTTACGGTGAAAATTCCAAAATAATCGACAAAAAACACGGTTTTTAAGAAGAAACTTATAGCCAAACTATCGCTGTTTTGCACAATCAATACCTATTTTAACGTTGAATATAAATAAACAACTATATTTCTTTACGAGTTGTTATGAAAACTGCAGCTGAATAGATCAAGCTTTTTTCGGGGAAACTACAGAACTAATGTTGTGTATTGATGTTTGGCATTAACGCCTTAGTAAAATCTATTGGCATTTTAACATTATGCATACTCCAATTCAAATTTCGACTTGGCTCCATTTATTKGCTGTACAGACGACCAACGTAACGCTTTCTATAATTCATACTCGTTTTTAATGAGTAGGCCATGTTTGCTATGACACTTCAACAATTGTCCTACAGCTTGTTTTTTRCACTGTAATTTCTGTTCGTCCCATGGTTTGTTTGCACAGGTTGTCCCGTCTCTTATSCTAAAGAAACTAAGTGTGCAAGATGAATGCCATTTGCATTTATTATGAAAATCTTTTTCTTCTCATCAAATTTGTGAAAGAAGTGGACTCTATTGGTGTAGGCTCGKACCTTTATTTCAAAATGGAACTTCTTTAATGAAACGCAAATAAGTGAACGGCTAAATCTATCTAAATGTATATGAYGATTTCAATAAAGGTGTTATTTTAGAGGACATTTTTTTACGTATAGTACATGTCGGACAGGTAGGGGAAAAGCTCCTTTGGTAAGGTTCTGATCTGGAAAAGGATGTTGTCATTTGGTGTTTTGACATGCTTGAAAAAAATCGTTTTCTCTGAATTTTTTTCTCTGCGCTGACAAATTAAACTTTAGTAAAGCAAAATTCATGTACTCAGCTCAACAGATGATATCGAGTAGAATAGTTATTCGTCGATTTTCTTTAATTACATTTAAGCATTTAGTTCATAGTTGTTTTAAATTGATYATATATTAAAAACATAACTTTCCATTTCTCCGTCAAATAAAACTTTGCCATATCTTTGGTTCCTTATATGGGCTAATGAAATTCCGAACAATTTCAGGAAGTTAATTTCATAAGACTGATCCTTTAATTTCTCTCCAACTTGAGTAAAGTCGATTTGAAATGTAGAATAATACGAGTATTGTAACTTTAAGTCTGAGATTATCCTTTCGTTCCWTGTAAACTTTAGCTAAAACCAATCCAAATATAGAGCAAAAAGGGAGAYGAAAAGTAATCCATTCGCGTTTCTCGTAGGCACTTGGTGGGATTAGAAATGTATCGTACTTTGTGCACTTATTTTGAAAGGGCTCAAAGCCATTATTCGGYATCACTTTTTACTAATCAAGTGTAGGGCAGCTTCTTTATGCTTTTAGTTTCTTAAAGGATTATTACAGCATAGAAACAGAATTACTGTCGACACAATGAGCATGGTAAGACTATGTATAGTGTATTATATAATTGAAAATATTTTCAAAGGCTGCTCAAAATGAATCAAGAATTTATCGAAAATACATATAAATGTGTTTATCAACTTCAAAGCTTAAAATTGCGAGAGATTGCAAGTAAATTTTACTCCAATGTTACCAGTTAGTATGAAAGGTAGTGAAAAAATAGACAAAATGACTGATGAAACTTTCTCTCTATTGCTTAAAAGAGTTGAAATGCACAAACTTGGTATTGATAAAGCTTGTGAACGTAAACGAATGGGAATCTAGATTTTTTTTCTACACTTGGACAAGGTCTAAACAATTCATATCTTCTAATTGTTACAATTATGCACTAAAGACTGAATCTTCTTTCCTTTATAAAACAATGCAGASAAACGGGTCTAAGATATTTCTACATCTTTAAGCAATAAGAATACATGATTTACGAATGCAGTTAAAAAGGAATAATGGTTTTAGTAGTTTTTTCTAAATATAACACTTGTAAAATCAGTAATGGTCACAATGAATACGGAAAATGTTTCCATACTTCTCTGCCGTAACTGAGCGATTCTATATCCGCCAGGAAAAAAAAAAATAGCTTTCATACTCAGTCTTTAAAATTATTCTTTCTAAAGAAAASCTTTTTTATAATGATTTTACCTTCAACCGTGGTTGTCATCAGGGCTGTTCAATTTCTTTGAAAAGCAAAAAAAAATGTTTTTTCTCTTCCTTCATAGAAAGTGTTCATCGACATGGTGATCGAACTGACTCTCGTGAAGAAATGTTAACATTCAGTCATACATGGCACAAATCTTTCTTATTTGAAAGGTGATTCAAAATGTGAATAGAATGTCCAACAAAAGCTCGACACATCGGTCGATGTATGTCAATATCTATAACACACTGTCTAACTTATATTTTACACTTGCWTTCATGTCTGAACTCAATAAAGCGAAAGAGAAGTGCAATAAATTTGAATGAACTGAGAAAGTCAGTTTTATGACAAGTTCTTCAACGTTCGAACACCCGATCAATTATCTCAAAAGAAAAGTGTATTCAGCTTTTGGCCGTCACATTCGAACGACAATTCGAGTTTATGTGGCGAGAGGTAAATTTGTGACGGAGATGTTAGTGTTCTTAAGACTACAACTGTAAGGATTTCGCCTTAGGCATCGTGCGGCAGTGATTACACTTCACAAGAATGAAAATAATCAATTCGAACGAATACCTTTACAGAACAATGTAACAATTTATTCTTTAAAAGACTGCGACTTGTGGAAATGGAAGAAACGCCTAAAGAWCAAGCAAACAAACATCATGTCGATGTGGACCGCTTTCCCGTCACCTTTGGAAAATTGGCACCTGCAAAGACTACTTCACAAGAAAAGCCACRGAGATAGTTTTGCCAACAAAAACAAGTCAAAAAGCATTTATTTTACATCTTTATTTTCTTTACTTATTTATTTTGATTTTTTGAAGGGAAAACATGTATGTTTTGCGACCGAACAACTGTTCTTGAAGGAGTCGCACTCTGTACATCGGATGTGACAAATGTACATTAGCTTTTGACGTAATGACACCAAAGAGACGACGAAGAATTACCTCACCAAACTTTACCATTCAGCTTCGAGTGGTACAACCTCAAATTATCATTATGTTCTTCAGCAATAATTTTWCCTTAAAAAAGAAATTGACTGCTTTTTCAGCGTGATACCTGATACTTTCAGTCGAGAGATAAAGGTTATACAAGATCAAGAACCGGCCCTCACTGAAAAGCAAATTAAAACAGGTTCGACATCCACCCGCAAAATACAAAGCAATCAGCCAGCGTTAAAAGAAAGAACACATAGCCTCTTTTCTTTCAAAGCTCAATGAAATGAAGTTTTTTTAGTGTATAACCTTTGCACAAAAACAGAGGTCAAAAATCTAGCCGCAAACCACCTCAAATTAATAGCCCTAAGTGACGACCAAACAATGAACGCTTGCACAGAGTCTTGATAGCTTTTCAAACGGTCAAAGTTTCTCAACAGGAAAAAGAAATTCAATTTGAGCATTAGCGTTTTCTTCTCAAAAAAGGAAACACGAATTACAGTGATTTTTTGTTGTATTTGATATGCTTCGTTGTGTACCAAACTGMGCAATGCCTTTGGTAAAGATATGCCTTTCACCGCTGTAGATAGGGCTTTTATTCAACAGGAATTAATAAACATCGTGAAAGAATTCTTTCCGACTTCAAAGAACTGAATGCGACCGACTCGAGTGGGCTAATAGTTTCAGGTAGTGCTCTTGCTGCGAGGTTATGTTAAAGGGAGTTGATTTTAGTGTAGGCATATATCATTTGTGACAAAGTGAGTTATGAGTTCTTTTTCGAAGTACTTAAGACTACAACAAATGAGGACAAAAGACTCTGTTCATACTATAAAAGGATATAAAAGCCCTTTTTTACACCAGAGAACTTTTATTGTATTTTTATTGCTTTTCTTGAAACTTTTTGGTGAAAACAACAAAGTGCTGCTTTGAAAAAAAATAAATGAGAAAAGGAAACAATCCACTCGAGTAAAAAGCATGAAGTGGACATCGCAAAGATAGATAAGAGTGCTCAAGATCAAAGGGTCTTCCACAGATATTTCAAAGATCAAATACCCTTAAATTGCCACTGTACAATCTCAGATCACGCGCTTGTGTGTATACAAAGTGAACAGAGCAGCGATAAGACAAAATGAACCATGATATTACAGAACCACATAAGATAGCAATCTCATCTTGTTTGCTCGTTTTATACTTTATTCAAAAACAGAAGCAGCGATATAAATAAATATACTACGGAGTCCTTGGCGTGCACCTAAGTTTCAATGATCCTGTCGCGTGCACTTAGAAAAATCAAACGGTTTCACACCTTTATACGATCTCAAACAATCGAAACTTCGCTCGTGTTTAAATTAAAAAATGGATCAAAAACAATGTATAATGGTTGTAAATGTTTTCGTTGTCAAATTTCCAAGCGATTATCTATAATGAAAGTTTTAGGCATGGATAATGAAAGTCTGTTCTATCTTTCGATGCAATCACAATAAAGAGCAGTAATTGCTTATTTTTTATGAGGCGGGCCATTCATTGTCGTGTTCYTCTTAGGAAGCAGATTGTATTCTTATACCCGATTGAGTGGTTATAATCGAATGTCTTCCAAGTTTGTTTTTCTACTAACCCTATTCAGTAGTTTCCTATAATATAACAAAAAAATATGAGATTGAGATAAGACGACGCTCTGAGCAAATAAACGCACCAAATATGAAAGTACAAGGGAAAATATGGAGGGAAAACAAATTGATGGTTGATTCTTGACCATTTAATTTAGTTGTGGTTGAGATGGTTAAGATAGTGATGGTACGTGAATGCCTAAGATATGGCGTCTAGTTTCCTTTAGTTTATGTTTTATTTTGAACTACGTCTTAATTGCCCCGTCCAAACGAGCTTAATTCTCCAATGCACTCAAAAGAAAACACAAATTACTCGTAAGTAAATAGTACGCTTCAGTCAAACATAGAGTTGACTAAACATGATCTTATTCAGGAAAAGATTGGCTAAAAAAATCAAACAATATTTTGTTTTCAAAGCTAGACATTTAGGTCACGACTTTGGCTTCGTAAAGGACCAACATACTTTACAAACTTGAAGTAGACAAGCTAAAAAATTAAATCTACCTTTACACTTGAAAAATATCATTTTTTGAATTCTAGTCGTCGCAAAAGTTTTCTCTGRACAAGAAGAGCCAAAAGAGGTTTTGATAATGCATGTTCTTRCGATTTAKTTTTTGTACATTGATGTACAATTCTTATTTAAACACAACCAGTCTAAGACAATCCCTCCTGTCAAATAGCAAGACAAGCACAAAGTCTTGAGTCCACGTTAGCCGTCTCAGTAAAAAAGGAATGTGCTTAAGTTGTCTGAAAAACTGTCCTAATCTTTTCGCGTGGTTAAAGAAAGGTTTTTGTTTTCGTGGTGATTAATGACCGATTTTTTATCCCGGCAGTCCGTGCTCCGATGGATGYCTTTTATAAAGACTGTTTTCTTTTACACTCGTGTCTACAATTCTGCTACAATCAATTGGATCATAAGTTCATGGCATCCGAAATGAATGAGGGTTTAGTATCTTGATTGCTTTTAAGTCTGCTGAGTTGACATTACAAATTACTCCGCTGTAATACTGAAAGGGCCTGCAAAGAGACAGCCCATCGACTCGTGTGACCGAAGTGTAGTTCTCTGTTCAAAATATCAACGAAGAAAAACTCCACCAAAGTGGAGCCAGTGAATTAGAATTGCTTGGACTATTCTCTAGCTCGTTTCAATTAATTCACTTAATGTATGGAATTGCTAGCTTTAAGATGAGGCAGTTAAGACTTAACAGGATAGCATTTCCCCTGAGGCGTCCAATCGCCTAAGTGGAGTTGACCAGTTAGCTATAGTTAATTTACACGGTTTTTTCAGTCAGGTCTCTCGCGTCTCCACAACACAGCACCGCGCATGAGCCCCCAGAAGCAGCAACATACCACACCTCCAGTACCTTCCACTCTAGGCTCAATGTCCTTTTTCCCAGAACTTCAGGAGTTGCAGTATCACACTCTCTGCTCCCTACAAAACGATGAAAGGGGGGTAAGTTTACTGCGATATATTTTAGAAACACGCTTGTTCTCGGTTACGAAACGCGAGAGCGCTCCAACTACGGAAACCCGCACAATACGTCGATCAGACAGACCTAGTCTATGTCCTTTTCATCATTCCTTGTGTTTCAAATCCAATACCGCTTTCTGTACATCAATTAACTTGCACCCTGGTTTTCCATCTAAACAGTTCAGAGACAATCAACCGTTTCGCAATYCTAACATAAACTCATCGCGATACATGTCTTGGAATAATATTAAGGTATTCTAAACCTCAGATGACCCGGGTTCATCTTTGTCACAAATTAGATCTTTGCATATTGTGCGACGTCAACTATTTGGAGCTTGGTGAGGGCGTTTGAGAAGTATTTAAAAACGACTTGATCTGTTTTTGTGTGTGTGGAAGCTTATGCTGCAAAAGCGGCTTGTCTTGTTTTTGATGTGAATGCCACATGTGCTTGTGAAGGAATGTTTTTTTTAAAACTCTAGACGGTCAATTTGATCGGATCGAGATATTTATCCGACGCAGGACATGATAAGAGCAAATGCTTGCAACAATATTTTGAAAGAATCGAATAGGCTTTGCCTCGACCTGTTTAATAGTGTAGGTACACTGAAAATTGCGTGGTACATCTTAACGAACCACTTTACAGTGAAGGTTTAAGCGATTATCCATCCGTACAAACATCTTGGTGATGACGAGTTGTGGAAATCTTTAGACGAAGCGTTTAAAATCTATATCCTAAAGTGATTATACTAGGCTATCAGTCTTATTTCAACTGGGCTTCGTGATGTTTCACATACAAGCTCAAACAACCARCAAATATACGAGTATAACTGAACTCCGTATGATCCGAACTGAGCTGTCTTTAAAAACCTTCTTGACAATATCTTTTCAGATTAAACTCTTTAGGTATAAGCTTCCTTTACTTTGAATAAAGATCTCAGTTTTTATCAATAGAGATGTGAATATGTTTACCAAACAACGTGCTGCCCTCGAAAGGATTAGCAGGCCCACCACAACAAAATTTGAATTTACCTTTTGTCTTGGCGTTCAGTCCTGGTTCACAGTCTCAAAGAACTGTCCTCGATCGTTTTTGTCTATATGGAGCTTGCCTTTTGAAAGACTTCGCGAGACTGCTCTTCGATCGGTTCCGRTGGATTGTGTGCTCCAAAAAACGTGGAAAGGGTTTGAGAAACAAAGCAAAGCAACGCGGTGCTTTAGGTATGTTTAATTTGTTTTTTCTTGAGCCAAAGCGTCTCGCGCGAATTCAATTTCTGACAGACACTAAACGACATTTTGGACAGGTTACTTTTTGAGGGGATCATCCCTCACTATCAAATGACCGCATGATCGTTCAGTTTAGTAACGACAAATACACAAGTATACAAGTGGAATGATAACATTCAAAAATATCACAGCAAGTACAAGCAAGTCTCAAATGAAAAAAACACTCAGTATAGTTGTCGAATTTGTGTTTGCTCAGCGACTGACTACAACTCACTACCACGAGGCATCTTGGTCGACAATAGAGCACAACGCCCTCCCCAGACCGGTCGTACGATGTCGGCAAAAAGCGAAAGCTATCAATACTTTCGAAAAATAGTCTCAGTAYCAAACGTAATTGTAAAAGATCTTTGCTTCAGCTTTCGCAACATCGCCTGACTGAATGTTTGTTTACTGTTCAGGGTAAACAAAGATGAGGCTACACGGACGATTCTCGCTTTTCATTTCCTTCAATGTTCTAACGGCTTTTTTGAACTTATTGGGCCCTATTTATCTTTTTCGTGTTTAGGCGGTTTATTCTTACGTTACAGAGATCATTGTGTTAGTTTAATCCATATGAAATGTAATTGTCATAACAGATCGTTTTGATCCCTTACTTGAAATCAATTCGAGCTGCTTAGACGTCCTGTTTGCTGTTCGCTCGTCCTTTCTCATTCATTCAGCCCTAGAGGCTGTATTGTTTTGTATTTAAAAATAATATCCACATCAAATTTTACAGTATTTTAGCATTAATTGTTTTATTATTTTATACTCATGATTATGTTGTGAGAACAAGACGAGAATATCAATCATCTAAGAAACTAGAGAGCGCTTTATTCAGTGACTCTACAAGGTAGCATMGTTCAAAATGGCTGCTACATTTTCATTTCTAGGGAAGTATTTTCTCTCTCCACAAAAGACAGGAATGAACCCATTRGCAAATATACTAGGCGACATTGTTAGGTCTTATTTTTTCTTTATGAAAGCGTTTATAGTAGATAGAATAATTCAGTAGAAGGCTTTCCCAATTCATATTTAAAATGACGAGATGTCGTATATAAATGCTTGGTACATAGACAGAAATGAGCAGTTTTGAATAGTTGTAATTCTACTTATATAAAGAGAGAGAACAAGACACGTTTTCGATCATAACATTTTATACATAAAGTCTTAGAAAATTTGACACAAATAAAAACACGGTGTTGATGCATATGTCCTATTCTTTTACTTTTTATTTGTAGGAATGATTAGTGAATGGGAGAYGAGGAATTCTATGGTTTACATTTATACCTTAGCAAAATCGGGAATGATGAATGCATTGGTTGTTTAGGTGCAAACTCTAAATCGTCGTCATATTTGTCCACTTTGAAGCCTGAATCAACATTATTTTAGACYGAATATTTTAAGAAATATTGCACTTGTCTGACCACATTTTCGCGATTTAATTGAAAAACRCTTTTCCTTCTCCTGGAATTTTCTCTAAGGAGATGAAAGGTTGGCTTTCAACCTCTTTCAACGCCAAGACCTGTATGTTTAGGAACGGGRAGACTCTTTTAAAATTGCAAACATTACACTTGTACTAGCCAAAAACTAAATGCAAATCAGGTTAATCATGTACGATCGGTTGATGAYTAGGGTTTATCAGGGAAGCYATCTTTGTTCATTAATAGCCCTGTTCCATCCCTACAATATCGTACTTCAAGGTTCCAAAATCAAATTACCCTTTCTTGACCCGAGCACCAAAAAAATCAACACCAGGTTTTGTTCCATGTATACTGTGAATAATGCGGTTGCTTTTTAGTCCATTTGGGCTTTTTGTTCATTTGGTAGTTTTAGCCGATGCATTATGCTAGAAAAACCAAGCATAGAGAACGGTAGACGAGCCGGCGTTTACAAAACAACATCCTATTGCCACTAAGCACAATCTATGATCCAGTGCTGTGTCACAACTATCTCTGTTCTGGATGAAACAAGCTCCCTTCCAACTCTCACTCTTGAGTTAGATCCTACTAAGAGACTGTCTAACGATATGTACCTATAGCCGWAGGCTTCAAATATCCTTTGACTACKAGAATGCCTTAYGAAGTCTCAGATCATGGTAGCTTTCGTGTTGTAAATAGAGAGTAAGCTGACACGCTGCATTTTATACAAAGGCTAGAGAGCTGACTCCAATCTGTCTGTCTGAATTCAAATCTTCATTAGTGATTAAAAATAAGTGTTTTCTTGAAAGCTGGTCGAGGAATAACCTCGCAAGGTGGATGTAAGCCAAATACTTTGCTACGTAATTGTGAGGTGTACCACATGAATTTGAATCCCTTTCCATTGTAAAATTATCGTAGCGTTGATTGAGATAATCCGTCCTAGGCTAGCACTTCCAGTGTTATGTTCAAGCATTTGTGCGTAATTCCAACTCACTGTCCACTTATTCCTAAGCTTACAACGACTTTCTTGAGGATCCATAGCTTAGAAAAAGYGTTATTCCACAAGTGGTTTTATTTTTAGCGACGGAGAAATGCTTAGATCGTGTGAATGCATCTACGAGTTGAACACCCGTGCTTGTAATTTGAAACCACTGAGTTTGTGAGGCCAGCGTCTGCATGTCTCACTTCAGCACTCGTGTGTACTTGGCCGTGGATATCAGCTTTCTGAAAGCATCGCGTCAGCCTCTTTGAAGCGTCGAAACTCAGACAAAAATAAACTAGGGGTATTGAAGAAAACAAAGTCGAAAGTTCCTCAAAGCTGTGACAAAGAGTAGGTCACCTGGCTTCGTTTTACGGTCTCTGGTAAGTGCCACGTTGAGTTCGTCTTTCCTTCCCTCTCCTTTGCCGGTTATGTCAAAATAAATTTATTAGCCTGTTTAGTGCTTGAAGCTTCGTGGAATCATTTAAGTCTACACGTAAAAGCCATAATGTTGATCAGAGTAAAGTAGAGTTGATAGAATATGTGACAGGTTCAATGCTCAGGAGATGATCAACGTTAATAAAGCATACATAAGTGGGCCAAATGTYGAGTCTTGCAGGCCGTGAGCAAAAAATAAACAGTATGTACCTCTATAGCCAAATGGAATTCTATTTTAGTTGTCTATGGAAATGAGGTTGAAGCTTATCTTGAATAAACTTCATCATGTCTGTGCTATGCCGCWTTTATAGATAAACAAACCGTACCGACTTTCTTGGAGACAGAACTTCAAAGGACCCCGTTTGCGTACAATATAACGTGGTGGCCAACCGATTTGTTTAGGATGTTTGTTGTCATGTAMCTGCGAGGTTTAAACACGRTTGTAATTTTAATTTCTATCTTATTGTAAGMTAAAACGTTGATTTGAACGGTTAGGGTCCTCTCAGGACGTGGTCTAACGAAGGAATTCGTAAACTGAACTCTTTATATCCGCGCAATCATATCCCRATGTTTATTACCGTCACTCGAGTCAACACGAGGATCACAGAATAAACCCAGTATCAGCTAAATCTGTGTTGAAAGTTTGAAGAAATTCAGAAGAGGCATCATACATAGAAACAGTCATCCTGTTGCTGATCCCAAGTGACCTTCAAATGATGACCATTAGAAACTAAACACTCGATGACCTTTGTCACAGTTCCGATTTGAGAACATTTCTCCATCAAACATCGCCATTTATTTCATCAAATTCAGCTCGTGTTATTGAAACCATTAACTCCCACCATGGTCTTTAGGGTAAACCCATTCGAAATTGACCCTAGGGCTTCGCTTTGGGTGATTTTCCTTCGACGATACGGCTCTCTAAACGTACTTCCTCCGACATCTTCAGTTGAAATTCAATTCCAAGTGAAACTTGTTACTTTGAATTCCTCAAAATACCGTCGAGTAGCCGTTTCCTTATCGCAACTGTGATTTCGGTAATCACWGGGCTTCTTTTTTTCTCCTCCTACTCYTTGAATTACTGCCGATGTCTGATTTACTTGTAGGATGTAGATCTCTTATGTTCACCGTTGCGAACCCGTTTGATTCTGATAACATGATACCTCGCGAAGTTACATAAAATAGAGAAGTAGCTTATACATAAAGGCCTAAGAATGACTGGCGGTTTGACACTCGGTCGTGTTGTAATGACAGATTTTTATTGTAAAACCTCTGGAGTGATTATGATATATATACAAACTTTTGAAGGCATCTTAAGTGCGTGTGAATGAATGTCGGCGGAGTGTTCACATACTATACAAAGGACTGAAGATAACTTTCATTCCTAACAAAGATTAAATGTTTACAGCAATCACTTTCAGAATTCTGTAACACACGCTCTGACTTATATTTGGTTTTATTTTCTTTATCTGAGACACAGCCATCAAAAAAATGAAATGTTGTTTACTATTACAAGACAGCTCAAGGCGTCATCTTCTGGTATGGCTGAAACCTTGTCAAATGTCTATGCCAATACACATGTTAGAGAAATTTCATTTTTGTCACAAAAGGCAATATGCTAAATTAGATTTTCATCTCAGGAAAGCCATAAATCTCGTTTTTGTCATAAAGCTTTCAAGTTTTTCACATCCAATGATGTATCGCTGATCAGATCAACCACAATGAAGAACTGCCTTCATGAGTTATATATTTGTTGTTCTGTCGCAAAAGCTGTCTTCTTGATAAGTGTATCAAGGGTTTTCATGGTTGTTGACCCTCTATGAACCTCATGATACGCCATTTCTAGGCCAATACTTGTAAACTCAAGACAGCGGTGAGGCAGATAAAGAGATATTGCTCCGTCCTGATAGACACTGCTAATTTTTGATTTTACAGATCTTTCGCGCATCAGAAATCTCCTCAATTCACATAAAATTTTTGTTTTTTGTTGGTGATGCAACCTTTGCGGTTTTGGTTTAGAATTTTAAGAACCCAAGAATAACCGCTCGCGGATTTTTATCAATGGGCCGTGTTTTTTAAATGATGTCCGTTGTATTTTGTGTTATAATGGTTTTTAAATTACTATCATATGCGTAATAGGCACATTGGTCTGCTGTGATAGCCATAAAGACCTCATTAGGGTTGGCAGGTTTGCTGAAAGTTCCCTTGAAAACCGACAGATTCCTGATTAATGRTGAAATATTCGCTTGTACCTGACAATCTCGTCGACTTCACCACTTCGCAGCCGTTACATATGTTGAAAGATCAACACTCATCAGTCGAGTTTCGTATCTGTTTTGAAACATGAACAGAAATAGCACTAGATGCTCTTCACCGCTAATGTACTTCTCTTAAAGCAACAACAAAATTGCGCGCGCGCAAATGTACTTCAAGGTCTCGAAGTCGCGATTTATTTTATTTTGTTAATAACTCGATTCAGGGTTTAACGATCACCTACGGGTTAAATTCTGTTATGTATGCTTGTTATGATTTAAAATACAGAAAGGATTAACCTTTTTCTGTTATTCTGAACAGCATCGTATCACGAGACACCACAAAAATCACGGTCGTTGTTACTAAAATGACCCGATCATCAGACTTCTTAGGTCGCCATTCTCCAATTGACAGTCGTTCCTGTTCGTGTCCGGTTTCAAAAGTAGTCTATTGTGTATTACGCGTGCGATTGCTCTGCCTTACCAAAAYGCAGCAAGTGAGAAATCTTAAAGTGTCTGATGTAATTTTATGGATGCTCACAGCTATTACCTTTCATCTTTTGAAAGCGGGTAACCTTAGTTACGTAAACTGCTAGGCGACTACAAAAGAGCATGGACTATAAACGATAGCGATAGCAATGTTTTGCCGCAACATGAAACTGATGCTTTTGTCTTTATTACGGTATCAGCAAACTTAGCGTGCGATCTGACTCGTGGACCGTGGTTCAAGTTTGTACTAATGTCATAGAGAAGTCGCTACATTGCATTTGACAAGTGGTGCGTTTAGTGAGGTTTCAAGATGTTTTGAGATGGACATGTTGTTTTAAACTAAGTGTCGTTCATCTCCGCCCATTCTGTCAGGTTCTGACAAAAGCGTCATATCTCTTTGCTATCGTTAGACAGGAACTTTGATAAGGAAATACAATCCATCAAAACCACTCTTGTATTACAACGCAAACCTCGTCCATAAATAAAATAAAATATATTAATTTTCTCGTAAACACTAAGCTTCAAATTAAACGGCCCATTACAGTTTTTGTGTTAATCAGCTGTGTTTGTACTTTTAACACGGTTATTGAAGTTCGGTTTTTGTGTTGCTTTGGAAAAGCATTGCCGAAGTAGAAACATTTCAAAGCCAATTAACAGCAGGTGTTGGCCAACTGTCAATCAAAAGCCACAAAAGGGTTTCCAACATACCACCCGTGCCACTAAACATCCCCAACTACTTGCACTAAAAAATATCGATAGCTTCAAAAATATTCCAATTTATTCAGAAAAAAAATGCAACAGAGATGCTTCCACTTAGAACTTATTTTGCATGTTTCCGGGCTAACTTTCCTTAGATAATTTTAAAATTGATCTAGATTACCTTGTTGTTAGTTTTCAATAGATTGACACGCCCCAAAGACTATGTAAAGATTTGTGATAGGTGAGACAATGTAGATTGAAGTGTTTAGACATATTATTTGGGTTCACCGGTTRCTCGTATTGTGATTGGCTGGCCMCTCTAATTGGTCCCACCACGTATTATTAAGAAGTGACTAAGGTTCATGATATTTCTAAGGAGAATTAATGCGTTACAGAGTGTGCTGCTAGTCTTTTGCGTATATTATAAAGCTAAATGGTATACAGTCGGCGCCTAGATCATCTGGTTATACTCGATTGTTTTAAAAATCAACATCTTGAAGCAAAAAATCATCCCCGGGCTTAAAAAGCGCGTCGCCTATTGAATCACATGTCTGATCAAAAACGTAAGTCTCAATAACATGTTGTGACAAGAGCCTATGGAAATCTTGAATGATGATTGACAGATCAGTGGGGCAAGAGCCACGAGACAAGCTTGACAATCCGTTACGGGTTGTGTTGACGGGAATACACATCTTTCTTCTGCAACTTGACGTGTTGTAAGTTTAGAAAGCTATCCAACTGAGTTAGCCCTAAACTGACTGTCAAATCTCAAGATTAAGCATCGAATGTAATTTTTAGATAACGACCGTGGAATAAACCCATATACGGTCGTGGCCGTCTTCTCGGCCAATGTTTATGGCCATACAACGGGTCAGTAGATGGAATCAACTTTCTGAAGCCCCTCGGTGTGCGCATAATATTGCTTGGTTACTACGACATCGCACCATGCAGGCGCTGAGTAATTATCTGCAAAATGTTGTGATTTTAACCTATGGAATGATTTCTATTGCAGCCGCCATATGATGAAGTGGGAGCCTTTACGATGGACGGCGCCTCATCAATGTATGGAASCATGCAGCAGCATATAAACCACGCGAGCGTAAGCACTTCATACCATCATCCTGCCTCTGCTGCGACGTCTGTGATGAGTACTGTTTCTGATATTCATAAGAGAGATAAGGAAGTTTTGTATGGGTATGTGAATTGCTCCTAATTTGATTGTTATGCTTATAAATCACTCTCCCGTCGACCCGTAACTCAGCCTGAAAACGTTAATCTATAAACATCAACTGAGCAGTCGGCTAGCTTGATTGATTGCAATTACGAAGTCTTGTTATTAACCGTATTGTTTCCATGTGAGATCCTTGTTTAAATCTGTTAATTCGTAAATCGTCAGAGGTGCAAACACCAGATCGAATGTAACAGATAGGTCCTTTGAAACCATTGATTATAATAACTGTAAATTAGAGGGGCATTCAAAAGTGATTATTGCCTTCACAGCCATCCCTTGTTTCCATTACTCGCTTTAATCTTTGAGAAATGTGAGCTTGCGACGTGCACGCCGAGAGAACCCGGTGCCATCGGTGGGGACGTTTGCTCCTCTGCCTCCTTCAATGAAGACATTCAAGCTTTTGCTAAACAGGTAAGTTGTTGTTAAACGTCTCTCACTTTCTTGTGACAGCGAGTTTGTGTGACTTGTATATTCTGACATAATCGTCGAAAATTAGTCATGGGTCCAATGGAAGCTGATGGGTCAAAATGGATCAAAAAGAACCAAAATAACTGATATWTTTTKCTTGCTTGCAGTTCAAAAGCGATAAAGCAATCTTTTCATCCAACCATGAAGTTGATAGTTTGGTATGTATTGTTGTAGTTTTTCTACCATGAAATTTTATTGTATTTTTGGTAGTTGTAAAATATTAATATACTACATCCCGGCTTGATTGGATTTAAATAACATCAAAATAATGCCACATGCATTGTTGCCTTTAGTACGTTGCTTCGGACATGCTGTGAACTTGATTCTTTGAACTATCGTCCGTCATTTGAAATGACAATTTTTCTATCCTTTGCGGTTTTATCAGTGGGRTTGATAGTTCATGTCCTGTCTTATTACAGATGATACAAGCTATACAAGTTCTTCGATTTCATTTACTGGAGTTAGAGAAGGTTTGTACAAATATAAACTAAAATTTATAGGCCACGATATATTAAGAGTCCGTTAAAATGACTTAAAATTAATTTCGCACATGCATGTTTAACTAACCACATGTAGAGTCGAGGAGATATTGTGAAGATGAATGGAGTAAAGCCATTTCTCCCTGACTCTTTGCCAAAGACACTCTTATTATGTGTATATAGGCAAAATCTCCCAGACATTTCAAATTAATTTGCATAATGCATACATTATACTTATCTTCAGATAGAAATTTAATCTCTCTTCATGTCAGTTGTGTTATGCGCTGGATTTCTCAGGTATTTCTGAAGCGTATACAACTGTAAACTCGAGTCCGAAAGGCGAACTTGAGCAAGATTATTCCTGTAACTTGGGCTTTCTTATCTTCCGTCCAGGTGCACGAGTTGTGTGACAATTTTTGTAAGCGCTACATAAGTTGCCTCAAGGGGAAAATGCCCATAGACCTTGTCATGGACGAAAAAGAAAACGGAGGAAAAAGTAAAAGCGATGGCGAGCTTGGCCCCGACTCACCACCCGACGATTCTCAGGTACCTAGCAGAAAAACATCTCAAGTGTCGAAAGGCCGTGCCACGCGCGCTCACCAGTTTAGAATCGATCTTTCACTTACAAGTCGAAAGAATTTGAGATACCCTCTTGCTGGGGCGTAAATGTGTTTTASAACATCAAATTATCTTCTAAGTGGATGAAGGTTATTAGTCGTGTGATACTGATTCCGCAATCTTAAATCAAAGGGCTTTAGAAGACCTTTTAGTGACGCTCATGACCGTCGAATATTTACGAAACATCCCGCCGTGATATTTTTATAAACTCGTATTGTCAAGCATGCTGGGAGCTTTTTGCCCAGTCCATAAAAATCTGTAACTCAAAGAACGACCGTTGAGTAAGTAATTCGACAGTAAGTCACACCTAAACCGTCAATGCGACACTTAATGTGGCGTTGTATTTTGTCAAGTATATTTATTACATTCTCGACAGCAACTTGGACGGGTTGACGTGTTGAAAAAACAGTAGAATCTTTCATGCCCTTAAAGCTAGATCATTTATCTCAGATCAAATTCACGCACTTCTCTGCTTACTGACAACAAATACTTAGAATCAATCTAGAAGCTGTCTTCGATGTGGTTTAATGAAATGTGCGTCTCGAATTTTTTTTATGAGGCAAGAGCCCGTTTCCGCATAGTGTAAAAATAGGCGGGTAAAACTCAACTAGCGTTCGCTTCGGCCGGTAAGCTGTCCCAAGGAAATGTGAACGGTTGTTTATGAGAACTGAGCTCAATTAGTGTTCTTTGTCATAAGTCATCATGCCCTCCAGCCTCTTATAGTCAGTTTTGACAAAAAATTAGTTTATATGTCGCTTTCTCCACCTTTACTTTGKTTTTSCTATTCACGGGCTGTCACGGCTTTGAAAGGAAATTCAATTGTAGTTCAGTGTTTGGTGTGATAATGTGGTTCATTCACGCGATCATTAATTATATGTTTTCTTTATTCTTCCAACACAGTTGACCGGTACTCCATCGTGGCAGACGTCTCTAGGTTTGGATAATGAGAACTCGGGTCAAAATTCTCAGCCTTCGTCACAAACCCCCTCAGATCCAGGGGCTGATTGTCCGGTGACTCCGGAAGGTAGGGGAATAAAACTTACTTTGCTTTATTAAAATCGACAGTTTGATCATTTTTTTATTAAATTGTTTCCGTATTCGATGTCTTTTTAATAATGTCCTCAATAATAAATCAGTAAAGACCAATTTATTGATGTACTGTTTTATCATCTTTTGAGCGCACAGCTCTTTCCTTTTGTATTAATCTATGCCAACAATTATTTGAAGAGTTTAGCTGAATAGCGAAATTATTGGTCCAGAGCTGAGGTTTATTCTTGGAAGGCTTTTATTGAGTTGAAAGCCTGTCGTCTATGTTGACACAGCTGCACAAAGACCTCCTTTCTCTTCATAATTAAAAAGAATATCATTTTACGTCCTTGGCGACACGTTCGTTAAGTCATATGCAAATTTCTCAGTTGATTGCCACAATTGAAAACTTGTTCTCATTATGTCACTTCATCAACTTTTGAAAGTCCGTGTCAGTGCGTTTGGTATTGCGGTTTTTCTGTCGCTGTGTTATCTATTTCCATCTTTAATGATGTTGCTGAGGAAATGGCGCGCAGAAAAGAAAAGCGCACTTTTAACGGCAGCGCGCTGCTACGTTAGACCGTTTGAGTGCTTTGAGTTGGTTACATATATATCATATCGTACTGGCCTGCAAATAATGCCTGTCCGTTTGAAGAGATGACACGAAAGGCCTTTGACAAACATGGATAATTGTCTACGAAAAGTTTCAATTAGCGCGCAAAGCGAAGCGATGCCTAACGTTGAAGCTTCTTGCTGCACGCTAGGCTCAAACCAGTCTCGTGCGTGTGTTTAGGATATGCTTAAATCGGATTTYCTGACAACGACCTTGTTTTCTGACAAAAGAGATTGCTGACATTAACAGAAACTAACATATATGCCAGTATAGTTTACAGATTTGTCACTGTAATGGGTCTCGATGAATTTGACGCTAGCTTGCTACTTTTATTTGCTAAAGGAGGATTTCCCTATCCTCCGTGAGCTCGTCAGARTTGCTAAGGTGTTTTCCACCGTTTCGTTGATAAACAACCACACGGCTTGTTAGGATTTTTCTCATTGGCTTGTGTTGGGCAATTAATCGTGGGGGAGGTCCACGCGCAATTTATAAATTCTYATATGAAACGGATCTCGAGATCAACTCTATGTTTAATACAGAGTGATCTCATAGACCCCATTTAAGTCAAAAAATTTGTGTATTTTACAATATTGAATCTGATAATAGTCTGCCTAGGGCTAAGTGCATGTGTACTGTTCCATTCTCTCTTTGCTTTTCTATTTGACAGTTATCCATGATCCGTGATATATCTGACAAGATAGCCTCTTGCAATTTCCTCCCGTAATTTCCTGAAGTACTGTCAACGAATTATTCATTATGCTTTCATTGTCACTTATAACTACAATCACTAAGGAAGTTGTACAAGTCTACGAAAGGTCCACATGAGTGAAGCATCACTCGAGAGCAAGGTCCGCTAATTCTTAACTCTCATCTCCCCTGGACGTGTAGACGTTAAAAACTCTTAGCCACTCCCTAGTTCAGCAGTGAGTGGGTCAACTTGTTGTTAAGTGTCTAACGATATATACAACCATGCCTCTTGGGGACGATCATCGTGAGCTTTACTACTGTCAAGATCGTGTAACAGGTGAAGAAATAATCAGACTTGGTGTAACTAGAGGCTTTTGTGAACACTTAAGTGATTCTGAAAAGGTTTGTCAAGTACCAAGTGTTAGGACTGACAACCTTAAGCACCTTGGCCGGTGTTCGACTGTTCCTTCAAAACTTTTTTTTCTCAGACCTTACCGGATTTTTTTCTTAGAGTTCCGTCTCCAAAAACAACTAAGTACATCATTATAGGKGACCAGCTTCATTGTTTCTTTATTACACCGTGACATTGTTTATCGTTTTTTACTCGTGTCAAGTTTCAGTTTAACTCTTMCTACGGAAAACTTCCTATCTGTCGCACTAAAAAGAAAGAGTAAATTTCGATGCCTTTTTTTAGCTTGTTCTCTATTGTAATGCTATCAGTGCTCAGGAAGTGAGAGGAGAAGTTAAAGATATCATCTTCGATTGAGGAAATAACTTTGGTGCATGAAATATGATGGTTTATCTTATAAAGTGACATTCCCTTTCAAAAACGGCTTTGCTTGGGTAGATCTCAATGCCCCTATATTGGTTCGAGTACTTGTGAAATCCTTTATCACTCCATTGTAGCTTATTATTACTTTTATWTATTGAGCTAAATAGTGTTTGGTCGAGTGCTAGATACTTTAACCTTTTGTTGTGGAGACGATTATATATCGTTTCCTATAAGGACTTTTCCACCCTGTCAATTCTCTATTCTCCAGACAGATGTTTGTGTCTTTACAAGTTCACTTTCATAAAACTGCTATCCATTTGTTTTCCGTAGTGTTGTTTGCGTTTGTGTGTTTTGCATTTTTAGAGAAATATTATTTGCCTTTGCCAACGCTGGATTGTCAGGAGTGTGTTTGTTTTTACGCACTTGCGAAAATTAATAAAAAGATTCGGAAGGCTCATATTGGAAGAGGCCTCATTTGCGCTGTTCAGTGACAGCAGTTAAGGCCATGCTTTTAACCCATCTGCATTTTTACCATTCAATTTAAGTAGGATTTGAAAGTGACTTCTATCTTTCTAGTTTAATTATGGAATATGTCACATGTTTACTGAGTTTATATAAGAGCTGTCAATCAAATCTGTGAAGCGAGAATTAATCACGAAGCCAGCGCTGGGCTGTATCTTTCTCTCCCGTGGCTCTGGGACGATAACATCAAAACCCGACGCATCAGTTAATTTCTTGGTTGGCTTTACAGTAATGATTCCAGGTGCGAAAATTTATTTTGAGTTTTTCTTCGAGTAAAGGTGTCATTAGCGTAAGCTAATTGGTATACTGACAGCAATGCCACAAGAACTCTTCTGTGGAAAGCAATACTCGAGAAAATTCCCCTCCAGTTTGTCAACTTAGTCATCGAAAATTTGACCAGTGTTTCAACAYACTTGTGCATCTGCAAGACGTTGTAATCGTTTCCTTCGCAAGTCAGATAAACCGCCATAGACCTTGCAGATTTTAAGTTTTTAGGCTCTTGGATTCCTTGAAGAACGTGTTGAGACATGGTTGTTTTAGTTGTTACTTTATTGTTGAATTTACACAGGTCGAGTGTCTGGATCAACGAATATCGCCGCGCAAGGCTCTGACAAAATCCGTCAGCAAATTGTAGCATTTGCAAACTAARTTCAGTCAGTTTTGTCTCTTTTATTTCAATCATTGTCAAGRGTAGAAATTGTGACGATGCAAAAGCTTGTTTGTTTCGCATCCCAGAAACAGACATTTCAGACAGTCAACATTTCGAATTGTGTTTGATTCTCTTCTTCTGTTGCAGGACAGTCCCTTAACGCTTCCATCGGTTCCGACGATGGAGGAAGCGAAACAGCCGACGATGATCACTCAAAGAAAAGCCAAAAAAAGAGAGGCATTTTTCCAAAAGCAGCTACGAATATAATGAAAGCATGGCTATTCCAACACCTCACGGTAAGCTCTCAGTTACTAAACAAGCACTAAAGGCAAACTTCTGAATTATATGTAAAGCAATCTTTTGTTACGAAGGGCCCTTAAAAGAATAATATATACTATGAGAATTGATAGAATGGCCAGAAAATCCCTGAAAGGTACTACCTGGTGACGGCCTTTGTTATGTGTTCTTCGTTTCGCTACTTGGCAGGTTCCAGCACTTCGTTAACTAGTTATYTAAAGGACATCCACAAATATACTCTATTTAGTTATATAGTAATTTGTTTGAAGTGCTCTGGAGGCTCAGTTGAAAGTATACAAGATAAGAATCACGAATTGTGTGTATTAAAGTGCTTGTTTTTATTTCTTAAATGAAAAACGTTTTTGTACAACGTTTATGCCAATTGATTCAAACGATTTGTTTTTCGAGTATTAAATCGATATCTTTGTGTTCTTAATAACGAAAACATACAAAGGTTTAAACAACAAATTCTACGTCTAGTCTTTTCCGCCGCTGTTGATTCAGTCTTCGTTTTGTAAGAATCAATAGTGACTATAAACGACAACTTTTGCTGATGGCGGGTTCTTTGAACACTGCCCTTTTGTAGCAGTCGATGCTGTTTTTTAAGTCTGAGTTTGTTATTGGTAAATATTCTCTAAGCTAGTTGTGCAATTAGGTTTGTTTAAGGCCACTATGAGCAGCCAAGGAAACGAAAAGCGGGGTTGTACTTGTTTAGATACGTGTACAGTAATAGTACAATCGACTAGATTTTGTTTCTGTGGGCACATGTTTATATACAAGTATTTCGTACTTCAGTGGTGTGAGTTTTCACAGTTTTTCTGTGTCTAAAATGTCACATTTTCTGGTCGTTTTCAACAAACTGGGTTTTTGAAAGCAAAACATTAAAAATTTACCATGTTGCTATAAATAAGCTTTRAGTTTTTTTCTCAGACTCTTAGCGTTCCTTGTTGAACAAGTGTATTTAGATGATTCCAGTGGTTTATTAGTAAGTCATGTGTATGACCCAGCGAAATGGCAGCGATATTCATTACAACAAACTTAGCTTCATTGATACCGAGGCTTTGAATAAGTGGRCTATGGAGTTCATTTTTAGTTGGTGTTGTTTTTGTACCGGCAATTTTCAATTGTTTTCTAACCTGCGTTTAATTCATAATTTACCGTTACCTAAGTGTTATCAAGCCAGGTCTTAAAACACCGAAAGAAACATAATCATTAGCTATATCTGCTTGTACTTTCACAGCACGGCTCTGCTTTAAGACAAAGCTTGTATCTTTTGTCCTTTCTCGCAGAAATAGCTTGAAGGAAAAATGGCRGTTCTTAGTCAAAACATTTATTCGAAAGCCTTTTCGGCAATGCAGTTCAACTTTTTCGGTGATTGTATTTCGGTTCCGAGGTAAGAAAATGTTTGCATGGAGTCACTAGATGGCCTTTAGTGATGACTCGTGGTAACTTGGAACAAGAACAAAGGACTCCAAGTTTAGTTCTGTTGGCGGTCGTAACCATAAACGAAGAAGACCTTCAAAAGTATTTGTTTTATTTGACTCAATGCCGGTGTTGTTTTGACCGCACCTTAGTTTCATGGAAKGAAGTTGCCATGCTTCTCACTGCACGATGTCCGTGGAACAAAAACAGCAGTTTTTAGGTGAAATTGAATCCTGRCAAAGGATTTGGGTCAATGAGTGTATCCATGCAACCGAATAAATTTCGAGATATTATCTAAGGGGCTGAACGTTTGACAGCTTGAGCTGTTGAATTTCAAATAATTTCCACTCGCCCCATAAGTGTTCTTTTGTCGTCTTGGAGTATTTCACTTACGAGAACTTAATCCGCTGCGTGTAGCTTTAATTGTTCAGAACTCGTAATTCTTTGACTTTAGGTTATTTAGGATTTAGCGGAAGATTACATTCCTATTTAATAAACTCCTCTGTAGGTATACGAATGACTTTTTATAAGCTTTTAGTTTTTCATTCAAATCGTTCAATGAAACCCGTTGTTTGGTTCTATGTTTAGTTCCTCCCATATAATCACGTCTCGCAAAACACTCGAAGTTTAGTCTATCAAAAACAAATCTTTTCCTTAAACCWGAAAAAGGAAACAAGCAGAACCAGRACGATTTCTGGACTTGAAAGTAAATGCAAACTGGTGCCTTGGAGAAAACTCTCGATTTTGTGGACAACCGCGGTGTTTTAATGTTATGAGTCTTGCTAAATTTATGTTGTTTTTTTTTCTTTGATAGCATCCTTACCCGTCAGAAGAACAAAAGCGATCTTTAGCACAAGAAACTGGATTGACAATTCTTCAAGTCAACAATTGGTAAGACATCATAACAAGCTTTCAATGTCAAATGTAATTATTTTCATAGAAACAATAGTTTCTTCCACTATGGTCATGCAACAGTAAAAGTAGACTTTGTACTGATGAAGCTCATGCTACCAAACATTACGAAGTCATGCAAACTATAGACTTAAGAATTATACAATAGCCTTCTTGTTAACGTGAGGTCCTTCTAATGTTAATGGATTCTAGACCTATCCACGATGTTCGCTTTCAAATTTTCAATCTATATACAATATYATATAGATTCTTATTTATAACACGAAGGGAAAAAAATCTAATCTTTTTCGATTAATCAAATTTCCGTCATTGGTATTACCATTAATARTTTGCCCTCCCTTTTAATTGACAAGAATGTCACTTTCTTTCAATAATTAACGAGTGGGCGAGATGAATCACTTCGTAATTGCTCCTGAGTTTACCAAATAAAATCAATACGGATTCAAGATAACCCAAGTCTTTTTAAAACCAAGGTTCACATGGGTCATTTGGCATCAATATCTTGTATCGATGGCAAATCGGTGCAGTGAAATACCGTTGTTTTATTAACTGAGAAGGAAAGGGAAGTCCCCAGTATATTCTTTGGTCAAAAACAAATGATTGTATTTGCTAGTGAGAATGCTTTTAGTGGAGTGTCCTCATTAGCAACGAGAAAGCAATCCAAGAGTTGACAATCCATTTTCCTGTGTCTCCTTTTGTTGACTTTAGCAAAAAACTGTTTGCTTCTTGTCGCACTTCGATTTCAAATTAGTGTTTTTGGGGGCTGTACTGAGTTATAAGATAAGCATATTCGGTAAGATGATATCTCAACAGAACATTTCAAAAGCAGTTCATTGTTGTTATAYATCACAGTTTCATTAAACTTACATAAAGAAATGTCTAATAAGTGAAAAAACGGGAGAAACACTTCGATTGTGGTTCATTATAGAATCGATGCAATTAAAGGTGACTGATATTGCAATTTTTAATTGTCAGTTGTCTGAACGAATCAGTGTGACAGGATATCGCAGCAGCTTCTAACAATTAACTTTTATTAAGGGTGTCAAGAACGCCACAAATTGCATTTAATCTGCTTGTGTTTTCTGTCTTGGAATGATCCACAATGTCCGTTTGACAATGGTTTTTTGTCATACATGTCGTAGAGCTGTCGAAACGAGCTTTGTTTTATTGTCAAAGCATTAAGTGAAAAAAGTAATATAACAAGGAAGACCCCGTGACTCCTGAAATAAGGCCCTTAGCGATTATATAAAACTTGACTACTACAAGTGGATGAATAAATCTTTCCCAACGCCCATCACTGGAGCTGATTATTATACATTCAAACTGCTCTAAAGTCAATTCACATTAACTGACAATATGGTGATAATGGAAGGGTTATTTTTGCTACTGGAAATTGCTTGTTTGTGGACGAAATTTACACTTGTACAAACAAGAAATTTAGGACGAATACGTAAAAGGAAATGGAGAATGCTTTGTTTCCCAACCAATTTAGAAGTTAAGTGTTAGTTTCTTTGCTAGGAGACGATAACTTGACAAACGATGATCAATAARATGCWCGAAAAAAACATATATCCCGCAATTTGAGATTTTTACTGTTGCTTTTGCTGTCTTTATAATAAGTTAAGACTATTGTAAAATCGTCTTTGCATGAGAAATAGCGATATCTAAAATTACAAAAGTCTGTAATCTTATTGAAACGTCAATCCTTGAATGTACCTATGTTTCTAAAAAGCGTTTCTGTGCTGATTGTTCTCCATATTCAATAAAATAATTTTAAAAGGTGAATAGTAAAATCTTTCAATATGTGCTCGGTAAAGCGGTGCTGAATAATTAATGCGTGTGCAGTTTGTTTAGATCCTTTGTATCACAACTCAGATACCCCCCCCCCCCCAAAAAAAAAAAAAAAAAAGTAAAAAAAAAGAAAGAAAAAGAACAAAACCAAGCTACCACAAACCAAACGAACTATGATTGTTTTGTTGATATTCTTTGTGCGTCTCTAGTCTTTTTGTGATCGTGACTTCTCTTGAAGAACAGCGGAAATTGCCACCAGAAAAAAATTAATTTAAAACCAAGTTATTGTTGAAGAAATCTTTCAAAAGATCATGGTATTCTACTATAATACTTCTTTTGTTTTACACTGCACATACTGCAATTAATTTTGAATTATTGACCATATTTAAAGATTCTTTTGTTTCAAATCAAAGAAAAGGCGTTCTGTAGAATTCAATAAAATAGAGGATTCAGCGAGAAGAAAGAAATGAAAATTGGTTATTAGATATCTTTGTCAAAATTCAATGAAAACCCCACCCAAATAATAGATGAAAAACAATCGTATGATTAATATACAATACGTTATATAGCAAGCTTTCTTCTTTTATATCCTTTTCAAAGATAAAGAGRAAAAAGAGTAAAAATGTCAAGACTTAGTGACGGAGAAAACCCAACAAAAGATAAAAGCATATTTATACAAGATATGTCCAAAGCGCTGTTGTGTCCTTTGTCATAGAGCCACGTTATTATTTGGTATTTAGAAGTGCGCCCCAGTCAACTTAATTCATTGTTCTAGTGTTCCAAAAGCGTGACAATAACAATCCTAAAGCTTTGTTTTTTCAAATGATTGTTTTCGAAATATTTAATGCAAAGGGATACACACTGAGCTCAGCACGATATTGCACAAGTTACCACCAAAACCAGAAATCTGCAATTAARAGCCAATAGAGGTTAAAGTCTGTGTGCTTTTTMGAGAAATGTTGCACGTCATTTTAAGTGCGGCACCCCTTTATCTTGAAAACAAAAAATACTTCAAACAATACCATTTGTCACTAAGCGTTGAAATAATAGGTTGTATAAGATATCAAATTTGAAATGACAAGCCAGTTTTGCATAAGCATTTGAACATAGATATTGCCTAACCAAATTACATAGCAGTTTAGATGGTGAAATGTGAGGGCTGATATAAGTCGGTTGTTTCCTTTCAAGCTCTTTTATAATGAATGCAAAGAGTACACGTACTCAAAACTACCAGTTATATTTAGAACGAAGTTAGAATTGTCCCTACAGATCGAAAAGATGCAGCATGTAGCTATACCTGAATCTGAATAATGAAAGGTCGCCATTAAATGACAGAAGTTACTTTTTCCGTTGACATCCTTTTATATAAGATTAACAGAAAGTGACAAAAATGCCACAAAGTGAACAAAGGGCTGTCTTTGAACAATGCTGTTTCGACATTTCTTTTGAATCGAACTGTCACCTTCGTGGCATAACAACTCAGGTAGCTTACACGAAACTGTCAAAAAATGGCGTGGTCCTGAAGAAGAACCTGTGAGAAAGTCTAAAAAACTGCATATTAAAAAAGCGATAACAATYGACATTTTTTAAATTTATTGAAAACTCAAGGGGCCTGTTGTTTGCATCGAACAATACATCCTTTTTGCCATCGTGTCGCAGCTTTGCATGTAGAACATTGCCCACGTTTTCTACACAGTGAATGTATTGGAATGCATGCATGCGTGTCGTTATTCAGTGATATAAGTAGAAGGATAAGTAACAGGTGTTTACWGGGGAAACAATTGGAAAAGGTGTAGTGCTTTGATATCATTAATCCCACTGCCTAAACGCGTAACAATGTTCAGACATATTAACCAATTTAAAACTCTTGAAAAACAGCCATCGCCAAGAAGTGAATAATAAATGACTGTTTTGTTCYCTAAGTGCCTTTATATTGTCACAACACCTTAAAATGGCCGTCTTTGTGGTCGCAGTTAATAGGGCGATAGAGTGTATATCATGGAACAATAGTCTAAATTTAAAAGCTATTCATGTCATTATCACGCTGCTTTCAGGAAATCCTCTTATAATCACTTACACGAGATGTAAAAGGGGTCTGAAGCGTCTTTATAGCCTTAGGTAATACTAGTCATCGCGTTGTCTAGATCATTCGTGCGTGAATTCTGGTTAACCGTCTATCGTATATAAACAAGATTATCAAGTGTTAAGTTAAGAGCTACTTATGTCATTATCACAAATTTGTAAAAATCTATCCTTACTAAGACGATCCCACACCGGTTGGCTATAGCTCTAATTTGCAACAAAAAAAAGAGACTTAATTAAAGCCACAGATGTCATATGTGTTGTACCAGTTGATGTGCTATTCCAATTAACTGCATTGTCGTCGGATCGCTGATCATCAGGGTTGTGCTTGTCCAGAGGACAAGTGATATAGTTAATATCTCAAGCTAATATTAGGGGTTGAAAGGTTTTTTTTCGATGTTTTTATGATAAAACGCAATCAGTACTTAAAAAATAAAGGACTTGTCATCACTGGGATACCAATTTATCAAGTACTTCTGTGAAAAGAAGTGGACAAGAGTGTGGGCGTCTATTGATTGAGGAGCTCGTTTATGTGGGTCAAGTCTTTTTACATTTCACGCTCAGTCAACAATCTACATTAAAAGATTGATTAATCCATGATAAGCTTTCTTGTATTAAAAAAGACGTAATACGCAGAAGAGCCGGGTAACTTATTGGAATGAAAGGTTTGAAAACCTTTGTGTCTGCCTCAAATCATTTCGATTCGTGTAATAATATACCTGAATAAAATTAACAATTMAAAGTTATCACTAGTGATATTTATGCCAAAAATCACTTGAAATTATGCTATGACCTATATAAGAATCTTCTATTCTATAAGTATTAATTTCAGCAGCCACATTTCACAATCTCATTCCCGTCTGTCCACTTTCTTGTAACCTGGTTAATTTGCATATCATGTATATAGAAATAAAAACATGAGATTCCGACTTGAAAACAAAAATAAAGGAGAGCGGCATTAATAAAAAGATCAATGAAATCGCATTAAAACGTTTTCCAGCCGTTTTAATAATKAAAGCTATAAATACAGTCATCGTTATTATTGAATTTGAGACATAAACAGTAATGAAAAAAGGAAGTACACCATGTTGACATTTGTATCCCACTGACTAACTTAGATTATAAAAGAAGATCATTGTTATGTATATTTCTCTGTTCTAATTATTTAACATCAGATGCGACTCGTTTTTTATTTTTTATTTTTTTTTTGAAACTTTTTTTTTCTACTTAACTGCAGGTGATACATGTGGAATAAGTCTAGTAATTGTTTTGTGGAATGAGGGAAAATCACGAAGCCTGTTCTTATTCGTACATCCTTTTACTGATGTAGAACTATTGTTATGCATATTTCTATTTTTCTTTTAATGATCTTAAGAAGAATTTGTTTCTWTTACGTAGGTTTATAAATGCACGACGGAGGATTGTCCAACCTATGATAGATGCATCGAACAGAGCAGGAAAATCACCCGTTGTAACTGTATTTAAATCTAGACGGCGGAAAAATTCCCTTGGACAAGGTATTCCTTCTCCTGGTCCTCCTCGATACGGTCCTGCACCAGGCCATCCACCACCAGGCTACTATCCCGAACAGCATCACCCTCAAGCGCACCCAAACTACCACTTAGATGGAAGCCCTCAAGGACATTTCCCRCCACGAGGTTATATGTCRGATTCTGTGTCCAGTGGCGTCGGAACGATGCAAATGCCAACAACTGTAGCACACACTATGCACGCTCAGTTACCATCGCATGCTTATAGACAAGCAATGCAACCTTCTGTCCAACAACCTATGTACATCCCAGGACATCCTCACGCTATGATGATGCCTCCACCTGGTCATCCGCATGCGCATGCGCATCATCCAGGACACGGAGGCCCTCAGCTTATATCGTCGAGTCAGACATCGCCGTCAATCATAGTCAGCGAAGGAGTGATGACTCAATCGGTTATGGATATGCACTCTAGCTAAAATGTCTGTCTGTCCTTGGTTGTTGTTTTATTGGCTGGAGGTTGAACGTCGAAACCCTAGTAATGTGAACCATCGCGCTGGGCGTAGGGATACAGAGCTGCAGGGACCGTGGAAAAAGTGGACTGCAACCAAGATTCACGCAAAAGTCATTTCATCAGCGAGATGTGAACATGAGCAACTCATGGCTTTGAGAGGACCATATCCGACAAAATACACAAATCAAACGAAATCTAAAGAGAATGTTGTCCAAGATTCACCAGAATGAGTTTATACAGTTTAGTATCATTTTTATCAAAAATTATGAATCATTGAAAGATATGGAATTAATATTGTTCCAAATTTTAATCGGTTTGGTTTTAGGTTGCGCTAAATGACATTATAGACTTCTTAGGAATATTTTTTGGCGGTTGGATATAGAAATACCTTTGTTGAATGACCAGATTAAGCGCCTCAATGCACTACTCGCTAATCCTTAGTATGTAGAGTTAAAGTTAAGATTTCGTGATTAATGTCTTGAATATATCCTTCTTCGAGGAAAAATATCAAACAATATTATAAAGTAGCGTAAATTAGCAAGTTCTATTTTAAATATAGTGAGTCTCAAAGAATAGTTATATAAGATTTTTAGTATGTTTGTCCTAGAAGGTAAAACTTTCGGGATTATTTGAGCTATTTTTAGTATTTTTCTTTGATCGAAACTGAACAACACGTAATTGAGTGGTTTTGTTAGTAGATATCAATTCCTTTGAAAAAGGAAATTTATGGTTTTAACTTTTATATGTTCGTCTTGTGGTTACACTTAAGCCAAAAATATATCACAGTCCCTGCGCAATTCTACATTTTTAGAGTTTCTAGAATGCGAAATAGTTTTGCTTAGTGTAAGCGAAAATTGCAGCAAACTTTTCATCCTTGGGCACTTTGGTTATCAGAATTTATACATATATTTTTATCATGGCAGTTCGTTCCGTAAAAGTTGATCAAAAAAGAATAATATAAACGAATCAAAAGAAAGAGTAATTTAATGAAAACATAATTAATACAACACAAATACGATACGAAACATTTTGCTACCTACTTTTTCATACTATAATTTTTTTTTAGTTTTCTTAGTATTTTTCTCTAAGAGTATACCATATGGGAGATATTATAACCAATCAATCAAAGTGTCTAAGGGCTGAGGAAGCGCGCCGATAGTTTAGAAAGAAATGTCAAAATGATGTATCATATTCCAGTCATACAGTTGCCAGTATTTTGTTTATATATAAATATATATATATAAACCTATATATGAATGTCACTCTATTTTGTAAATGCAGATTTAGAGCTAGTCTTCTAAACTGAATATGGAGTATATAAATATATGATTTACTGAAAAACGAGACMATTTATCTTAGAAGTCTTTGTAAGGATAAGGTTTATAGGCTTACAAGGGGAAGGATTAAGCATATCTCTGAATCCGGAACCAAGTCTATTTTCGTGGCCACATTGGTTATTTTTTGAGTGAAAGCTCTACCATTCTGATTTTAAATGTTGTTTCTTTCTTCGGATTTGATGTATGTGTGCGTGTGTGTGGATGGCGGGTATCTTTTTTCGTGATCACCAGGAAAAAATGCAGCGGCAATTCTTTATTGCTTCTCACGTCACATTTTCTGCTGAATGGCCTGTGTACAACTCTAAATAACGGMGCTAACTATAGTGGGATGCCCCTAGGATTTTGATGAGAAAACACTTTTACTATTTGCCCGGGAGTGGCTTGCCATAGGGSTCCGGTAGCTATAAAGGAGGGTGTGTCCATCGAAAGATTTTTAAAATGAGGAGTGCCCATCAATCGCATCTAACCATCTGTTGKGAGGCAAGAAGTCGTTAATCAAACCTCACGGGGGATTATGACAGTACAGTGAAACAGGAATTTCCTTCACTGTCGAATAGAAAGCTATGGAATTTCCCAAATGACATATAATCCATGCAAAAAGACGATTTTTAAAGCATTGCAAACATCACTGGTGCGTAACCGAATGCATTTCATAGGGGAAGTCGATTGGAGAAAATTGAAAGGAGTGTATACAGAATTTGTACGCTGACTTTGAACTAACTTTGAAAGCATTTCAAGATCCGGTGGTGCTCTATTCATTGACTTTKTTAAAAATTCAATTACGAAAATGTTGAAAAATAACACTCGAGATGCGCTYTTTATCGGTAACAAAAACCGTAACTAATCAGCCGTTATGTAAGTAGCCGAAATTAGATTGTTATTATAAACCGCCAGTCAGTCGATTGTTCATTAAGGTACCACCTGTTGATCGCAGATTGACCATGGTCTATTAACAAATCACAACGAGCAATGTTMTTCACACGGGAGATTTTTAAGTGGCGAATGGTCAAGTCATGACAAAGTGAGCCGTAAGTACAATCGCTGGCAGTTCGCAAGTTGCCCTTGAAATGTGCACAAGATTCGTAAATTAAAATAAGATATCCGTCACACGTTTATTATGGAGTCAGTCATCTATTCGTCTCCAACTGTTCGATTACCCCAGTATAGTGATACCTGTTGACCCCYTCAACCATGTGTGACTCCAAAAACCTGTGTGAAATAGCACTATCGGGATGKAAWTSTGCGTGGGTGCAAGCAAATGTCTAGTGGATATATCTACCATTTAGTAAAAACAAAAACTAATTTGTACCTTGTTTACCGCATGGATGGACAGTGATAAYTTAAAAGGATGCGCTTTTTGTTAAATAAATATAACAATATTTTAAGACTGTCTTTGGCGGCTTCTTTTTGCCATTCCGACAAACCGTTCTCCATTGTTGTTTACTTTGAAGTTGACATGGTTCTCATTAATTTTTTACGAACTCAAGATTGAAGATAAGATCAATTGAAATTGTAACTTTCCCACGCCTTTGCAATCTCCTATCATGACTTTTACCTKGAAACACCAGCAACGGTAACCTGTGAGAACTTGAGACATATCTTGTATGCATCACGCACCGTGAATGTCTCGCCATATTTGGATGGTAGGAGTATTATGTAATCTATTTCACTCAATCAAAGCAGTTATTCAATTGAACCCAACTTTGCATATTATCCTTATTTCCAATGCCAACAGCAGGACATTGAAATATTTTTATGTCGTAAAAATAACTAATGACATAAACCCAAAAATTTAAGTTTTTCCAAAAAGGTGTGATGTCAAGGGGTTCACTTGTTTCTGYTTCATATRGGAGTGCCCCACTTCACCCTTTTTATCCAGATATGAAAATATCTGGCTGCACACATATCTTATACAACTGTCCACATGTATGCGAATTGAGTGTCTACACTTCAGTGAGACAACCCTGAGAAGTCATGTGTATACAGTGGACACATGTGCACGCTAGCTTTATATATTGATACCATTGTCATACTCTGCTGTCAACCCCAGAGTAATTCCACACATTGCAGATCAATAAATCTGCCATTTTATTCACAATATTTCATTTTGATAATTCATGCACAAATCAAGGGCAATTTTTTTGGCAATATACTTAAGACAGTACCAGACCCTTGTTTATATGCACATCGGTCATGCCCGCCCTTTGTAAAAGAACATTCGTCCTCACAATGAAGAGACTGGGCACTTAGAGTGTAAAAAGGAGTACAATATCTTCTCAATAGCCTGCAGGGCATAAAATACAAACTCTCAGATTTATGGTTCTGTAAAAAAATCTTTCAGAAGCAATTTCATAAGCTTGTTTGCATTGACATCTCWTACAAGCCTTTCRTCTCCGATTCCAAATATGGTATTGCCAAATATGGACGAATGCAGGTCGYGGCAAATTGCATTTTGGGCAAATGTTTGATGAATGATGAAAAAAACTGTTGTCTGTGTCCATCCAAAATTTAAAAACACTCCGCTGATCTATTGGGTTCCCTGTGGTATAATCTACGGCTAAACCGGTTAATATTTTTTGACGTTGTGAAATTTTGAGTTATCGCATCGCACCTTGATACAGAAACGCGCATTTTTGGTTTTGAATAAACGATATCAAGTAACCTCGGATTAAGTTAGTAAAATAAGGTATATTCTACCTSTAAATCTATCTATCTTTAGTAACGGCTAAAAATATATAAGGTAAAACACTTACTTGATCGATCGTTGACCCCATATACAGCTTAGTTGATCATTAGTTTGTAAACTTATCTTCAGAAATCTTGCTTTTTATGGAGRAAATTCAATACAAATTTATCAAAAATGTTTTACTTACTTTGTCTCACTTATTTTTGCGATTATATCTTCAAGCTGCATGGCAAAATCTCTGCAAAAAGCACAAAATTCTGCCATCTTCCTACATTTGAAGCTGTCTCACTTTGACACTTCATCAAAACACAAACGCGCGTGCACACTTGCCGAAAAGCGCGGGAACTTTTGACACACCAAATAAGGCAAGCGAAAATTGTACAAATTATCTCTATATTTACACTGTGCTAACTATATTAACAAATTACAAGGTTTTGCTGTACAAAGCCGACTCGTATTGAATATGAGTACATCAAAAAACCTTATATTAGGAGCACTGAACATTTCGCGCGTTTGACAGACATCGGCAAGGCTCTCAAAGCCACTTTCCGTTTGATTGGCTCCTTCACAAAGTAATCAATCTTGATTGGTTGACTGTAAATGAGGACGTTGCTGTGGTAATGASTGCATMTGTGATGGTCGACAGAGGATGATCCGTTTTGGTCTGATTTCTGAAGTAAACATGTAACCTTTTGAAGGTACAGTAAAAATAATGAGGAAAATAAAGACTTTTGAAGTTTCTGCAAGACACAGACCAATTAGAAATGATTAAATAAAAAGAATTCGGGATGTTACAACGACAGAATAGTTCGAGGCCCTACACGAGTGGCAGCTTCCGAACCAAACTGCAGTTGTTTGACCAGTTCATCAAAGAATTCACCTACGTTGATGAGGAACTGAACCCAGAGGAGCGAAGACAAATCCTTCAAGATAGACTTACAAATGGTAAGATTGTTCTTTATAATATTTATCTCGAAGAGAATGCACAATGAAGTCGAATTTGATGGATTATAGCGACCAAATCACTAACGTAAACATTCGATATGTCACAGGATATGAACCATTTTGCGAAGCTATAAGAAGTCTATTTGGGAACGATGTAAGCACACAAGATTTAAAGGCACTGTTTCGTAAAATAGCGTTAAATCCTGACGCTAAAGTCGACTGGAGCGAGGTAAACAAAACATTGTACTGTAAGTACAATTATAGATGTAAGATAGCAAGAAAAAATTAAGTATGTAAAAATACTCCATAAAGAACCTTTTTATTAGCTAAGAACAAATTAAAAGTTTAATATTTGAATTCACTAAGATTAGTTTTTTTGGTTTATATTTTCAAAAATATATTACACACATGCTGCCAGTGAAAGCCTTGTTGATAAGTGGACAGCATGCTTCAGACCAGTTTAATATAATCTCAATGGTACCAAACTCAGTTACGTAAATAGAYCAGAATAGAGTATTCCTGACAAGTTTAAGTTCTTCCACTCCATAGGTTTTGCATGGATGTTATCCATTGGACAAGGATTAATTTTATCTGTCCAATGACATATTTGCATATAATTTTTATTCTTTTTCTTCTTTTTTTTCCCTTTGGTTATGTCTTTGTATTATTCTAGAACAGCATTTGTGATTATGAATTTCCGTCTGCACAAGTCTGAAAGATCATTTCCWACCAATATAGATTATACAGTTCTCAAAATGTTACTAACAAATTAGTTTAGTAATTCATTAATTGTTTCCAGGAGTCTGTYATATTTTAATATTAAATTAAAATTTGAATTCTAACCTTTCATTAACTGTGAACACCTCATTTCAAGACAAAATTAAATTCTGGTTTATTTGTCAATAAAAAGGAGCTACAGCTTTTAGCTATGAATTTCAATTATCTTTCGGAGAGAGAGCCATGAACAAAATAATTATCATTTAAATTGCCATTGTTTGTGAGATCCCAGTAGTATAAAATAAAATCTTTTAATGATAAAACCCATTAGTGTTCAATGGAATTCAGTGTGAAAACTTTTACACATTGTATTCTCTTTGTAAATCCATAAGCAGCTTACAAATCATTCTCTTTACAATCCACGCAAATATTTTATAGAACTTCAGATTGAGTCATGCTGTTGTAGAAGTTARCAACATTAATGGACATCATTGACTCAAATTATTATTGAGAATTGAAGCAAATCTTTAGTATTTGCAGAATATAAAAGTTTTACTAATTCAGTAGTATATCACTAAGGATTYCTTTGTATTAATTCAGTCAAAAATCTTGTCAAAAAAGTTAAGCTACAAGATTTTAAAAAATACTGCCTTTGATAATCAAACTTTACCATTCACAAAAATACATGTATAAAAACAYTTCAATACTTCYCTTGAATGGCTGTGGCAAGCAATGCCCAATGTAGCAATAATATTGTAATTTTATTTCTTGTTTAGCTATTTGGTATAGGAGGCGCTACAGACGAAGTGCCTGACCTACTTCTGAATGAGGATACYTCTTCTGTGTTTACAACAAGCAAAAGGAAAACAGTTGGTGAAGCTGGAGGTGAGTTTTATTCATCAGTGTTGACTGCCATGTATATAATGGCAGCAAGTCTGACACATTCTGCATTCTTAATAGTCAGTTGGTAGTGGGCAGAAACCACAAGTCTTTGATAAAATAATTTTCAGTTTAAGTGCACATTATAAATATTATGCTGAACCTTTGGTACTTTTGCTAGACAAGCTGTACACTATTTTTTCTACTAAGAACCCTGCGCATTGTAAACTTTGCATAAATATTATTATGTCACATGTACAGGTGACAAGAAAAGAAGAGATGTTGTTCAATGCATAGCACATGTACCAAAATATGGCTTTTTCATTACTGCATCACAGAAAGGAATTGTTTGTCAATGGAGCAACAAGGTATGTATTCTTGAAACATATGGGCAATTAAGTGTGAATAAATTGAACATAGTACATATTTGAAAAGTACATATTTGAAACATTTTCCAATATATTTTCAGTTCCGTTTGCAAGCTTGCACAGATATTAATGTAAGTTTACAAGAGTTTTATCATGATAATACTAATTAAATGAAATATTGATAGGATTTCTAATCAATAATTTATATTCTTTTGTAAGGAATCATCTTGGGTTACTGGCTGTGGTTTRCTTCCAAGTTTACGTAGGATTGCAGTAAGTTATTGTAATGAAGTTATTACTGTAGTTTCAGAATGACATGTAATTGGACACAAAATTAAATGTCAAAATGGTTGTGATCATGGTCGCTCCTCAGTTTTTTCATATTTATAATTTGCTTTTTTTTAGGTGACATCTGAAAGGGCAGTTGCATTATGGGACTACAGACAAAAGAGAAAACAATCTGTAAGAATTTTATCTTAATTATAGTTAACCWATTCTGTCACGTGCAATTTTCTCTTGTTAAAGTGGCTATAATGAATAYAAGTGATTTTTATGTCTACTCAATATTTGTTTCATAAAGTATGTAATGATCTCTCTTAGACCATTTATCAAATCAAACCAGTGGACAATTCCCCTCAGTGCATGWCATACATACCATGGAAGACCAACTCAATGAATGAAGACACTATGCTGTTTGGAGATGATCAAGGTAAATAAAAACATTTCAAGAGCACAAAGGATAAACTTTGAGCTGAAATAAACAGAAATGGTCATCTTAAAGAATTTTCATTTCGAACTGTCAAGATATCTCTGAATTTTTTTGCCATTTGGAGAATTCAAAGCTGAAGAAATAAGGATATTTCAGACAGTGTCTACTTATAAGAGCTTGAAAACAAAAAAAAGCGGCTGTTGGACTCCCTGTACCATCTTGAAAAGCTAAGCATGTGCAGTGATGGATACCTGTGAATGATTGTCTGTAAYAATAGGTTTCTATCATTGCACGCTAAGTGGTTGTCTGGTTTTGATACAAAGGCACTATTGCCTTTCAATATGTTTCCATGAACCGTTAAGGAGACTGCACTCTATGGTATCCATTTCTTTTTACAAAAATGTCTTCTAAATGGAAAGTATGATTACAGTGTGTTTCATCATCATCATCATCATAAGTCTTTGCGCCAGTAGGCGCATAAGTGTGTTTGAAGGGAGAAAAAGAATGGGGTTTTGGAGAGTTGTATGTAAGTGGAGTTATCCAATATTATGATTCAACTGCAGACTGATTACGTTTTTGCTTCTCTTTAGGGTATGTAAATATGCTGACCATTTCATCCAAAGACCTTCACATGAAAAACTCCAATACCAAAGGAGACTCAGTTGTTGTGAACATTGAACCAAGTAAATTAAGCAGGTAATAAGATCATGTACATGACTACCGAAGAAAATAATGGCTTTTTTAATTTTAATGTACTGTACCTTTGCATCCAATATTCTTAGAAAGCTTCAGCTAGCTAGCTATCTACTATGTTTTGAATAACTGCCATGTATTTTTCTCACAGTGAAATCAAAGGAAGAAAGTTTTTTGATGATTGGGTTGTAAAAGTAAGTCATGCATTAAGTTAAATCTTTTATAGATAATAACATGAAAAATACTTGATTCTAATAATTTTAATGATATTTATTTCCTTGTACTAGATAAAGTATTTCCCACAYTTAGAGATGTTTGGTTGTTGTTCGCCTAGCTCTAATTGTTCATTCATTCTTGGAAGRATTGAGAGAGTACTTGATAATGGGTGAGTTCAAGTTCAGTCTTCCATGCTGTTATCTCTTCATCATTGTTTTTTCTCTTTTGCTATTCCATTCTTACTCATTTCTTCCTTTACTTTCATTTTTTTCATCGATTTTATGTGCCATTTGATTTACCTATTTGTTCATATCAAATCATTGCTTTCTGTTGTGGTCTTTGATCCTTTCATTCATTACAAGTATTTATTGTTTTCATTGTAGTTTTTGTTGCTTGTTTTATTGTCCCTAGCCCTGTGAGAGAACTTGCTGTGCCCAAGGGAGTCAACTGCTTTGATTACTGTTCAAGAGCTAATGTGATAATAACAGCAGGTGAAAGTGCTTTAATATAACCAGGAGCTTCTTCTGAGCTTGACTTGTATTGATCCTATAGTCAGCTGTATTTCTGTACAGAATAGTCTCCTTCATGGTTCTGTGTGCTATCTTGAAAAGTAGCCATGCCTTTACATCGAAGCAAGACAACCATTGAGCGTGCAATGATAGATACCTGTGAATAATTGTCTGTAGGTGTGAGAAAAGGTTTCTACCATTACACGCTAGATGATAGTCATGCTTCAATAAAAAGACACAGTTACCTTTCAAGATGGCGCAGGGAACCATGAAGAATACAATTTCCTGCACCATCTTGAAAGGTAGCCATACCATACCTCATTCCATGTGAGAGGATCTGTAGTTGAGCATATAAGAATAGAAAACCTTTTTCACACCTATATATATATATAGTATAATTGACCCCTTGCATGTGACGTCAAAGCAACTCCATTCTCCCTTTGTTGCAAAGYCGTGTGACATGTCAAGATGGCACAGGGAACCATGACAGGAGACTATTGTAATGCTTGAATTAAAAAATTTGTCAAAAGTCACAAGACATATTTTGTTGGCATTTTAGGTGCAGATAAGATTGTCCGTATATGGCATCCCCTTATTTTCTCAAGGCCGACAGGTATGTCAATGAAACAGTAAATGTTATRAATCATACAAAGAATAGATTTATGTTTATAAAAAGCTTGGTCCATGATATTTCTTTGGAAAAAATATGAAGTACTATTTGTGGCATTTTTCACCTTTCCGTATATGCAAATCAGTAGTGGGCAAAATATATTTTGATGGTCATTATTTTCTAATACAATAGTTACATATGACAATACAATAGAATGATATAATGTCCAATATGTTTATTTGAAAAGACATTTTAAATATATTCAAGCAATTTGAAGTTGCGGTTGCTTGGAATGATCACTTGTATTGAACTCTGCTATTGCTCTAGCCCTGCTAACAAAGAATTGTAATATCTTTCAAGGCAGCAAGTGATATTAAACCATAATCAATGATTTTGATTTGTTTTTCTTTMCAGGGAAATTAATTGGTCATCTATTCACCATAGTTGAAATCAGTGTGAATGAAAAGGACCAACAACTGATAAGCCTTTCTACTGCAAGGGTGAGACATTAGTTTAGAAGTAATACAGTGCTTAATAAGATGCCAGAGTTTTATTCTCACAAACTTGATAAATGCTTTAATGAATTTATTCTTTTTCGCAGGTGTTTCGTGTTTGGGACATCCAAACRTTAACTTGTCTTCAGGTTTGTTGTCTTTCATATCGTAAAACTTTCATTTTAGTCTGCATAGATTTTATAGATGATCTTTCAATTATTACACTAATAACAATCATTATAGGTGTTCACAGATAATGAGGTGCGACCTGGAGAAAAGCGTATTTCWTCCATGCTTTATGATGCCAAGAATGACAGACTTATTACAGGTTGCAGTGTTATTGATACATGGCCTCTAACGAGAGCAATACAAGARGCTTTACAAGTCCCTCATACTCATGATCGACCACTAAGTCAYGTATGTATCYGCCTAGCTACTGCATTTTACTCTGGTGCGCTTCCTGTGYACTTGAGAACCACAAWAACCAAAGCTCATCACATACACTTACAGAGATTAGTAAGATGTACTAGMAGGAAACATGTGTGGGCTTCCTGTGTTATACAAAGTGCAGTTTTAGTAGTATAATTTCTGTTTTCTTTGTAGTTGTTATACAATCCCCAAATGAGTCAGGTCATAACTGTGTGTACAGAAGGCATTATGAAGGTAATAGAGATAATAAACATCTTTTTCTTTTGAACTGTTTTCAAGAAATATATAGCAATTTATGTATACATTAAAAAAAACTTTCTTAATTATCAAAACAAGATCAATATTTTTGTCTAAGTGATCCTTTAAAATCACCTAAATAACATGTATTACTAATTKTAGATTTATTAAATGGACGTAGCAGTAGGACTTGAGATAAGATTTTTAAAAAGAGAACACCAACCTTCAGTTTGARATGTCAAAACTGAAGTCTTTTGTTCCCTTTTTAAAAATAAATACATTTCTTGTTATTTTTGGGACAAAATCAATATTTTTGTCTAAATGATCCTTGGTAAAATAGCAGAGTTTATTATATAAACACATTTCTTGTTATTTTTAGGTCTGGGAAATGGAAACAGGTCAAATAGTGTACCAGGTCCCTGATGCCCATGGGTCATCCAATGAAATAACAGCAATGAATATTGATAATACTGGTTATAGGCTTGTTACTGGAGCATATGATGGTAAGAGCCAGAGAAGCATGTCCTACTGTTAGGTGATTGATATCTACAAAGAATTTTTTTTTGTATAATAAAAAATATCTGATAAAGACTTTATTAAAATACATGTCTATCCAATCAAGGACTAATAAATTATAATATACAATTAAGATTATAGTTTATATTCAGTAGAAATTCATAAAATACTTGACTATGTTCAATAAGAAATAATAATAATWATTACATTTTTCCGTTAAAATTTTACAAAATTGTCCAAAGAATTATTCCTTGTTTTCACTATACATCACAGTGGACATCTTGGAGGAACTTAAACAAAGGAATTTCTCATTGTTATATCTTTTATTCATTCCTCCAACATGGACGCTTGTCTTTAATATTTTGAGCATCATGGGATTGGCTGAAAATAATCAATTCTTTTTTAAGACTCAGGCACTATTGTAGAGAGAATAGGGCAGTAGTAGATACAGAGGGATTTCAGGAGTTCTGCCCTATCCAGGAATTATGGCACTGACGCTGTCAATGAGACTTAAAATTTCTATTTTTATTTTTATTTTGGACAACATGACATGACCTTCTGGTCTGGGAATGTCCTTTCTGAATCAAATGATATTCGATGCAATAGTGTGGAATTTGTGTTCATTGTTTTTCCTATATTGTAAGGCACCATAAAAGCTTGGGATTTTGGCAGTGGGCAGCTTTACAAGTCGTATCCTGATGATCCCAAAAAGAGTCAAGAGAATACTATCACTGGTTTAGTGTACCATACTATACAAGAAAAACGGTGTTTGMTGGTGTCATCATGGGGAAAAGGAGTGAGGATACTTGAGGTAAGTCTAAAATCATGGTATTCAGGGGTATATCAGGTAAGGGGTGAAGGGTACAGGGCTCTCAGGAGGGGGTGCACCCCAAAAAATCATTACCATGAAGATACAAAATAAGGAAAGTATTGAAGGATACAGATCTCAGGAGGGGGTGCGCACCCCCTGCACCCACCAGCTGAATCCGCCCCTGGTATTATTATGGTAAAATACCCGTCAGATTATAAGGATTAATGCTTTCAAAATTCAAAGTGATATAATTTATATGATTATTATTCTCAAGGATTGCTATGACGAACCAATGTTTACTGAATTAAGATTCCTGAGTGACATCTTTAATCCACCAACTCCTATCACCGAACCAGGTATGGAAGTCTTATGGTAGAGGAATGTAAGGTTGGACAGCCAATTCATGCCAAGCCTACACTATTTTTTTAGGATTACGGAGTGTATTAGTTGGCTGAAATTGTCTACAAGCATTTACTTTTAATTCAATAAATAATACTAGTATAATCTTTTTTGACAGAGAGAGGTGCCTCCCCTTTTGTATCAAAAATACCATTACCAGGAATTGGCGAAGGAAACAACACAACAGGACAGGTAAGGCGAAAAAAGTTGAAATATGAAATACATGCACTTAAATAGATGAATTTAACTTTACAAAGGGCGTGGTTCATAAAAAATACAGATATAAGTACTTTCCGTGTGTTTGCATTTTTTACAAATGAACATAACAAGCTGCTGTCCGCAATAATTCTTGTCAATTTTAAGTAGCATCATGTTTTTAGCACAAATAGAAAGGCGGCCTCTTCCTAAGCAAAAGCACTCATTTACGATCATTTATTATTCTCACAGATATCTTTACTGAGATCCAGCGAGGTCACATGTGTTGAGTATTTCAGTGGTGCTACCTTATTGGCTGGAACAACTGATGGTTCACTTATCATGTGGAATCTTGACACTGAGAAGGTCATCTCAAGGTAAGAGCTTACAAATAGAGGACTTTTTCACTATTACATAACTCTAGTACAAAAAAAATTGGTATGTCTCTCTGCCTCAAGCTTTCCCATTATGATGTCATACGACGAAGGGGGAGAAACAGGGGTGCATGTCACAGAAAGCTGTTTTCTAACAAGTGATTCACAAATTTCAAGGTTTGTGTTACCTCCCACAAATACAAGTGCGCGAAGTGAAAAGAGCGCTAAGAGGCAACGACGTGATGACCAGGCAAATCTTGTACATGCATGTCGCGTTCTTGTTCATAAAGTTAGACGTCCAATCATCTATGGCGAAAGGTAACTCATTCCAATTATTCTTTATTCAGCCATTCATTCATTCTCATTCATTTCTCATCATTTCACTTATTTATTCTTTCTTTCATTAGCTCTTTTTATTCATTTTGTATTTTATCCACCTAGACCTGTATATCTTCACACCGTTGAAGAAGAATCAGAAAGTGAACACGAAACATCCACCGAGCTTTCCACTCCAAAYATTGATGAAAACGAAGAGAAAGAGGTTGAAGAAAACACTGACAAACCCAGTGAACTCCCTGATGACGTCAKCGATGTGGAAATGAAAGAAASTGAAGAAATAGAAAAAGAAGAAAAKGAYRCAWTAATCCCMGAYAGRAATTTAGAAAAGGATGAAAYAAATGAAGACGAGGAGGATGATTCGCCATATTTACGCATAAGCGAGCCCGCAGTACTTTCCTGTCATCATGATGGATACCTTAGATTTTGGACTTTGGAGGTTAGTTTTATTTTMCYCGAAGAATCAAACAGTGAGTACTTAGTTATATGAATGCTTTGGAAGACATACATAATATTATCTGTTGTTATMTTTAAGGGCCGATTATTAAATGAGATAAGGGCGATTACTCGCCGACAGTCATCAGCGGTCACGTGTCTAACTACTGACGTCGACTGTAAATACGTCATCAGTGGCGACGCAAGTAAGTCAAACCTTATCCCACCCTCCCCTCGTACCACTTGCCATGTTCCTGCATTAATACTAGATTTCCCCCCACTTATATAGTCATCATAGTTTCACTTTTTTDTCTCTCTTTCTCATCAGTTACTGCTATCCTTTTTTCCTTTCCTCCTGCTTCTTCCTTCCTTTTTTCTATTTTCTTGTTTGCTCTCCTTTCGAGTGGCAGTCGTTGCTTGTTAGAGACCCTTCTCGTGAAGTATATTTTCTTGACTTTTATTGAGCCACGCAGACTTTGTATGCTTCCATACTTTTTACTTCCACTTTGCTTAATTCACTTACCGATTGCTTTCTGTCTCACTGCCTCCGTTTTATTTTCAGGGGGATATGTGACAGTGTGGGATGTCGGGAGTTTCCTCCTGGACCCACCCAAAATTTCTAAGCCAAAGGATGAAGAATCAACAAACAAGAAGAAAGAGCCTAAGGTAACAAACACACAGAACTCGACAAAGCTTACCGCTGTCCTTTATCTAGTATCGCAGATTCCGTACTGTGCGTGATGTTTTTTATATGTGACTATCCGATTAGAACAAATCCTCCTTTAAACAACACAATGCATGAAACTCCTCTTTACGGGCATTCAGCATCAAATGACTTGCTTGGATACGAACTTCTAGGCCGTTTTTGTGATTCAAAATATGATCAAGTGTTCAATTATAGCAACAAGAGCTTACTGAATGATAAAAAATTTGGTTGTTTTTTTGAACGTTTATCTAGAACTAGTACCTTAATACGACCACTTCTCCATGTCCATTGGGTGGCCAGATTAACGAGGTTCTGCTGCAGCTTCCAAAACAGATCGTTTGATTTCAAAAGCGCAACGACTTCCTTTGTATACGTTTGCGTTCAACTGTCCGTTCTTTTTTTCTGTAGAATGTTATCAAACAAGTCATATGCTGGAGAGCACACTTGACGAGACTTGTTGGGGTAGAGCACCTTGAAGGTGCTGAGGTTTTAGTTACAGCGTCTACTGATTGTTCAGTCAGGTGAGATTCATTTAAGGGAGACCAGACTTCGATAAAGGCTTCTCACATTCATGAAAATCTGTGAAATGTGTATTGATATGATTGACTTTGACAGAGTCTGGTACCGCGATACTGGCCACTTTATAGGGTTCTTTGGTCAGCCACGATTGTGGCATCTGCCTAGTTCAAAATCAGTCCCAACAACTCCTGTGCGACCTTACGATATCACTGAGGTAATGCTACAGACCAGAAGTACATAGTTATGTACTTCTGTACAGACTTATGTTGATGTTCTACAATACTATGGTCATAGGAGCATAATATACTTTAAACAGCATTTGACGAATGAATGGTTAAATGGAAGAAGGACAATAAGTAATAGGACCATAATATACTTTAAACAGCATTTGACGAACGAATGGTTAAATGGAAGAATGACGGGAAAAATGAATAAATAAATAAATGGAGAGAGGGAGAACAAAGTAAATGAAACAAGTGGATTGAAATGTGAAATTGGATAGATATTAAAGTGCATTGAGTGAGTGAACTACAAAAAAGTTTAAAAACAAATAGATGGATGAATAACCAAACGAATGAAAATGTAAAAAGATGAATGAAATAGGAGAAATGAATTGATGAATACAGTAAATGTGTGTTTGAATTAATGATTTGATTGAAATACAATAAAATTAGTTATAAGAATTAATGATTAATTAATTGATTAA